TGGCATTATTCACTTCTAAAACAATGTTTGCACAGAACAGAACATGGAGGCAGAAATAGGGTGTGATGATGGTATGGCAAGGATCAAAAAGCCAATATCACTTCTTGGTCATAAATCACCAGGAAACAGAGACCCCTTCATTTCTGCAAGCAAAAATTTTCACTTTCATGATCTCATTCTGGGTCCCACAGTCAATCACATGCTTTAGAAAGAATTGGTATCCTGTTCCTCACTGACAGATGGAGAAACTTAGCTCACAGTCTAAATGATTTGTACAAGTTACTGGACTTGTGTTTTTTAAAATTCTGATTCAGTCCCTGGTGCTCCTCCAAAATAACACCACACATTACCCCTCGTCCTCATGGACTGGACACTGCTATGGAGGTATGAATATATGCCATTGATTCTACCAGCATGATAATCACCTCAAGAAATTTAAATAGCATCACATTCAAACTCTTTAGCCAACTGGCTTATTGTTTCATTTTCTCTAGTTTTTGGGTGTGCTTAGCAACTCTTATAACAAGGAAACAGTGACTTTACTAATCAAACACAAAGCAGGTTGACAAATATTTCTCAGTAACATTTTTTTCCATAAAAACTTTTTAGTATATTTTATTGATTATGCTGTTACAATAGCCCCATTTTTTCCTCCCCTTTCTCCACTTTTGCCCTGCACACCCCCTACCTCAGCATCCCCCTCTTAGTTCATGTCCATGGGTTGTAGGTATAAGTTCTTTGGTTTCTCCATTTTATATACTATTCTTAACCTCTCCCTGTCTATTTTGTACCTAAGAATTATGCTTCCTATTCCCTGTTACTCCACCCTTGTTCTCCCCCTCCCCACCCCTACTGATAACCCTCCATATGATCTCCATTTCTGAAATTCTATTCCTGCTCTAGTTGTTTGCTTAGTTTGTTTTTTTTTAGATTCAGTTATTGATAGTTGTGAGTTTGTTGTCATTTTACTTTTTATAATACTGATCTTTTCTTAGATAAGTCCCTTTAACTTTTCATATAATAAGGGATTGGTGATGATGAACTCCTTTAACTTTACCTTATCTGGGAAGCATTTTATTTGCCCTACCATTCTAAATGATAGCTTTGCTGGATAGAATAATCTGGGATGTAGGTCCTTGCCTTTCATGACTTTGAATATTTCTTTCCAGTCCCTTCTTGCCTGTAAGGTTTATTTTGAGAAATCAGCTGATAGTCTTATGGGAAATCCTTTGTAGGTAACTCTCTTGTTTTCTTTTACTGCTTTTAAGATTCTCTCCTCAAAAGTTTTTCCCCATGTACTATAGAGCTGCTGGATGGCCAAGGGCCTTTATTTTGGTGGCAAAAGATGGGACCTCAGTGACTAAAGCCATGAAATGGAAGACCTGGTGTGTGCCCACATTCAACAAATCCAGCAATACCCAAAACCACTTAAGCCATGCAATACACTCTCCTTCTGGTCACAAGAAAGGAAAAGTTGTCCAGTGTCTTTGACAGTCATCTGCTGAGAGATTTCCAGAAACTGCCTGAGCAACAGTTCCACAATCAAGATCTCTGCTGTTACTATTTTACAAGCCAAATGCCACACAATGCACCTGTGACACAGAGAAGATTGTCTCGCCCTCAACAGTAATATTTTTATTGGAATAATTTGATTCTAGAGCAGCACTGTAGAATGTTCTGCAATAATGGAAATATTCTGCATCTGTGCTGTTCAGAATAGCAGCCACTACCCATGTGGTTAGTGAACACTTGAAATATGGCTAGTGCAGATAACTGAGAAATCAAGATGGCAGAGGAGTGATTAGAAGCCATGCTGACCTCCTCCCAGGACCAATCTGGAATTACAACTAAATTGTGGAGAAATCACCTGGAACAAACAACTGAACAACAGCAAGAGAGGAGCCTTATAACCTTGGACAGACAGAAGAATCAGCTTTAGCACAACCTAGCTGCCACTTACCCTGGACTCTGACAAAGGTGAGGGCAGAGTGGTCTGGAGATGCCTGAGAAGAGACTGGGGAAGGAGGCTTTGGGGAGAGAATTGAGAGAGCAGCTGGTGGGATCCCAGTGCTGACTCTTCCCCCATACAGCAGCAGCCATCTTGCTCAGGCAGACCACTCCCCTGAGTGGTAGCATCGTGAGAGGACCCAATAATCCTACCCACAGGAGGGACTCTGCCTTGCCCTGTGGTGTCTAAGCCCAACTGTTGAGTGCAGAGTGACTAGATTAACAACTGAAGGAGACAGCCACAGACAGTAGATTCCTGGAAGTCTCAAACAGACTGCCTAAGGTCAAACAGGGTCAAATTCTGACATCATCCAGAAAGAAAAAACAGCAGTCTCCTACAATAGAAGTTCACACCACAAAGTCAGGAAATCAAGACAGATCAATTTCAGAAGCAGAAGCAAAAAAGATAAGTCTCACAAATAATGGGAAGACAAAGAAACACCCCCAATTGAAAGGAAAGGAGGAATCCCCAGAAAGAGAACTAAATGAAATAGAGGCAAGTAAACAATCAGATATTGAGTCCAAAACAATGGTTCTAAGGAAGCTCAATGAGCTCAGTGAGCTCAGAATTACAAAAACTTACAGGGAAACCACGAGGAACTTACTGCAAACTATATCAGCATGAAAAAGGACATAGAAATTATCAATAAGAGGCAAGAGGAAATGAAGAATACAATTTCTGAATTAAAGAACACAGTAGAAGGAATCAAAAGCAGACTATATGAAACCGAGGATTGAATCAGCAAGATGGAGGAAAAAGTAGAAAAAAGCTCCCAGAGAGAGCAAGAAAATGAAAAAGACTGAAAAAGAATGCAGAGGTATTTAGGGAAATGTAGGAAAACCTGAAAATTAATAATATCCATATAATAGGAGAAGAAGGAGAAGAGGAGGAAGGGATAGAGAACGTGTTTGAAAAAGAAATGATGGAAAACTTCCCTAATTGTAGGAGAGAAAAAGTCACACAAGTCCCAGAAGCACAAGAGGGTTCCATTCATGAGGAACACAATGAGGCCCACTGCAAGACACATCATAATTCAAATGGTAAATATCAAAGGCAAACAGAATCCTAAAGGCAGTAAGGGAGAAACAGGTAGCAACATAACATACAAGGGTGCCCCAATATGACTAGCAGCTGACTTCTCAACAGAAACACTGCAAGCCAGAAGGGAATGGCAAGAAATATTCCAAGTCATGAAAAGCAAAGGCCTGTAACCAAGACTGCTCTGCCCAGCAAGGCTCTCAATTAAAATGGAAAGCAAAATAAGGCTAAAAGAATACACCTCCACCAAACCAGCACTGCATGATAGGGTAACGGGACTGCTTTAAGAAGATGAAGTAAGGACCCAGTTCCTTTCACTGTCACCAATACTTGATATTACCAATATTTTTAATACTTATTAATCTGATTGTGACAATGATGTGTTATTTTAATTTTTACTTTATTATTTGTTGAAACTAAACCTGTTTTTGTATATTTCTTGCCTATTTCTATTATTTTATAATAGCTTTAAATGACTTTTTGGTATTATTTATCTACTTTTTGACTAAATGTAGAATTTTTTCCCTTCAAAAAACTATTAACCCTTTGTTAGATGTTGCAAATACTTTCCTATTCTATTACTTGTCCTTTAACTCTTTTTATATGTATATTACTGTATCATCTTAAATGTTTAATATAGTCATATTGTCAATATTTTACTTAATAGTTTCTGGGTTTGAATATTTTACTTCAGAGTAAGGAAAATATCATTTTGTATTTTCTCCTAAAACTCCTTAGATTTTATTTATTGATTTTTAACTCGAATAGTTCTTGTATGTGTGAAGTAAAGCTCTATATTCGTTTTTCACTTTACATTGCTTTCACTTCTTCATTCATTTTGCATCCATACTCAATAATTTCTGTAAGCATCCTGATTACCAGTGTTTTGAACTGTGCATCTGGTAGGTTGGTTATCTCCTTGTCACTGAGTCCTTTTTCTGTAGTTTTGATCTATTCTTTCATTTGGGCCATTCTTTGTCTTGGTGCGCCTGTTACATTGTAAGGGGTGGAGACTTAGGTATTGGCCAGGGTGTGGCAACCCACTTCACTGCTTTGTGGCACTGTCTGTTGGGGAGGGGTTAGAGAGGGAACAATGCCTGTTGCTCAGCTCTCACCCCACTTTCAGTTACTTCCTCCACTTCCCACAAGCAGATTGTGACCTTTTATGTGCTGATTCTTGGGTTAGTGCGCTTGTGTACATTCTAGGATCCCATGGTCCCCTCTAACAGACTCTTCTGCGACACTGAGAGTTTCTCCTGCTGCTGATGTTTTTAATGTCAGGAAAAATGGGAGCAGTTTAGAGAGTCTCAAGAAGAAAGGATTTCCCGTAGCATCACTGAAGTTTAGAGATAAATGTTAGCTCAAACATTCAGTTTTTTTTCAGAACAGACCTCTGGTTATCTCTTATGAGTATCCTCAAAGCTTTTTTTGGATATAAATCAGAAATATAGAAAGAGATTGATTAGAAACTTTATCTGGAACCTGGTGTTGTTCAAGCTGTAACACATTTCATAGGCAGTTTGATTCCAGAGTGGTAGAAACAGGCTTTAAACATTTCCATAGCTCCTACAGTGCTAACTCAGTGTCTTGCACACAGCTCAGTAAACCATGGTTAACATTGACATAACATTTTCTACATGCTAAACTCTGTGTAGACACTGTAGGTACAGTAATTTATTTAATCCCTATAACAATCCTACAAATAGCCATTATCATTATCATCCTCATTTTATGGACAAGGACACTGAGGTACAGAGAAATCAAATTACTTGCCAAAAATCAGGCAACCAGAGTCAGAACTGCTTCAGCAACCTGGGACCAGGGTGTGCTCTAAACAAAACAGTACTCTACCATCTAATTGAGTGTTCTGAATTCCCCAGATATATTTGTTTTACCTAAGGAGAGGGCATGGTGTACACTGTGATATAATTCACCGGTTTGCTTTCTTTCTTAGGCCTTCTGCGGTGAGGGCCACGAAGAGAGTCTGTGTGAAGCCATGGGTTATTGGCCTCATTACCTTTATTTCCCTGATTGTTCTGGCAGTGTGCATTGGCCTCATTGTTCACTACGTGAGATACAGTAAGTACAAGCTGCCCTGGCACCATGTGATTTAACTGAAATATTTCCTGTTGTACATTCCTGTTTTGTTTAGCCTCAGGTTTATTCATTCATTACTATAATTTATTTACATAAGTGGTGCAAAGGACATACACCTGCCTTGTTTCATGGTTAATACTCAGGAATGGAGGGAATTCTTTCTCTTATCTTTGATGAAGCAATGTTTTCTGCTGGGAATAGCATGCTAGTTTTCAAATTCATTAATAAGCAACAATCAAGTCTTAATTAGGGAAAGATCATAGAAGAGCTAAAGTCCAGTGTCTTGAGTTGTTTGAGGTCATAGGGCAATCATCTTGATTTAAAATAATTCTAACTCATTGAAATCCTGACAGCCCAATAACCAGAGATCATAGAGAAAAAGTAGGTTCTATTCCATGCTGGTAAGTTGGAAAAACGTTCATAGTGATCTATTTTTGAATAAGTGCCTATTTCTGTTATTTTAAATCTTATCTTGGATATATAACAAGCAATTAAAGGAGATAGGATATAGTAAGAAGGTTAATTTTAAAGAGGTTCTCTCTACAGTAACTGGGTACTTCACTGATGGATGAAACATGAACACTTTTGTGTTATTAGAAAGGTCCCCAGAGTACTTCAGAGAACTGTTCTTCGAGGGAGTGACAACCCTTCTGAAGTTACCTTCTACTCTGCCTCAGGTTTTAATTAGTTGACTCCACTATGACCTATGGGTTTAGTATCTCTCTTACTGACTAGATAGTGTTTTGATGTTCAAGACCCTGTAACTAGAGACTAATCATTTGATTATTATTTAATTGGGAATTTGCAGAAGTTGCTTTATGGCAATGTATAAATCAGTGATCTGCTAGCAGACACAGTTCAGTCTTGATTTTCCAAGCAAGGTAGATCATTTACAAACAATTTAAAGAAAAAAATATTTAATGTAAAGATATTTTCTTTGGGAAAATTTGCCCCCATGCAAGTCTTTGGATTTGGAGTACCTGTATTTTGATAGTTTTTCTGGCTTTCAAAATAAAAAGAATAAAAAAGAATAATTAAAATAACTCAATAATTCTGTTATGAATAGATTGAGTTCCATGATGTTGTAAGCATCATTATTCTTCTCCATGGGTGCTTAGGACTGTGTTTTATTCACTTTTGTATTTTTTGAATTTAAGAGGACCCTGGCACATATTAGAAACTTAATTAATATTTATTAAATACTGAAGGATAAAAAACAAGTGACTCATACTTTTGATATCTTATAGGGGCTTACTTTGGCTTGTCTGACTTTCTAAGGAATTCCTACTAATTCTAGAGGCCTCAACATCTGAATGAGAGAAAATGTTTCATACTTTTCCTTTGCTTCTTTCAAAGCCAAGTGTTTATGAGGCTTAAAATCTTATTCACATACATATAATGAAAACTTGGCAAGATTTTTCTAGTAACCTGTTCCTGGATCCCACTGTTTGGATGATTAGCTGAGTAATGTGAAACACAGTTTCTACTGCCCACACAGCACACCTGAATAAACAGTTGTTGTAATGTATGTTACTGTCATAATTGTGACCTGCCCTCTCTTTAGGGGATGTGAACTAAAAACAGAGTGGATATAGCACATGTGTATTTAGGAGATGGTACACCTAGATAATGAAACTAAACCCAACAAATCTATTATAGAAACAGACAGATAAAGATGGAATTGATCAGACTTGAAGAAACATAGTTTGGCATAAAGCCCAGGACAGCATAGAATTGTGGTTCATTTGTGTCGAGGAATCTTTGAAGTTGCATCTCTGTCCCCTCTGTGATTTGAATGGCAGAAGATGATTCAGTTATGAGTAACATCATTGTAGGTTATAGAATCACAAACCTGTTGGGAAACCCACGTTCATCCTTGTTTTTTTTTACTTTTCTGTTAATATTCCCAACGATATTCTTCAACAACTACACATACCATATAATTCTAACAAATGGAAATATGTTTTGACACTAAGTGATCTGTTTGAGTCATTTGAGCAAAGTAAAATATTGACTATAGATAAGTTGTTCATTTGGTTGGAGTTGCTGATATTTGACCATTTCTGACTTATAGGAACAGAAATTTCAAACGATTTGATTTAATAATTAAAAAAAGCTCTAATAGATCTAAGGATACAGAAGTATCTGTTTTCTTCCTCTTTAGAACCTTACTATTCAACATGTGATTAGGTACCAGCAGCACTAGCTTGGTGTTTGGTGGTGATCTTGTTAGAAATGCAGTTTGGGCCCAACTTTAGACTATTTAAACTATTGGTCAATACTTCAATAAATCGAAAACCTTAGTTAAAATTGTATATATTGCTAGGGACCTGCCTGCATTTCAGCCTACAATAGCCATTCAGGGAAGGGAGGTGAGGAAGGAAAACCTTCCCCAGTACCATGGTCAGGTGGCCAATGCTCAGTAGACCTTTCAGTGTCTCCAGCCTGCCATCCATCTCCTTTATGCACCACTCCAGACCTTTTAGAGTATGACTGGTGGCTTTCCTCTTTGGATAGCCAGGGTGTTGTGTGTGTTTGTTTGTTTTAATTTGCCAGCAGTTTTTCCCTATAACTTGTATATTACAAGAGATTTCTGCTACAGCTTTAATAAGTAGGTTTGTTTTTTTTCCCACCGCAAGTAGCAGTATATAAAGAAAAGTTGTGCTTTGGGAGTTAGACCTTGGGTTAAAGCCTAGTTCTGTCTTTTCTGGCTATGCTAAGTTGGGGTTAGGCAATTTATTGACTATTTATTTCTGAGGCTCTATCCTTAATCTGATAAATGCAGATAATACTGCATTCCCTGCCTTCCCATGGGAGTTATTATAAATTCAAAGAGATATGTGAATATGCCTGGGATACAGATATCTAATGCTAGTTTTCTTTTCCTCTGGTGTCTAAGTGAAAACAGAAAGGATGAGAAGCAACAGAGAAGAGAAGAGAGAGAGATTGGGTGAGGCACACTCCATTTTACTGTAATAATCATCAAAAATACCAGCCTTGATCACCATTGTATTCCTAATTTTCAGCACAGAGCCTCTCACAGAAAAGATAGTGAGCATTAATATTTGTTTCATGAATCTTCTGAGGGCTCTGTGCTTACTTCATGCATAGGAGGGTCAATGAAAAGGTTTGCTGCATTAATTCTTCAGCAGGCCCAAAATATGTGCTGCTTAAACTAGAGGCAGAAAGTGGATACAATGGCTAAGGAAGCAGACAAGCCAATTCCTGTGGCTGTTAGGAGAAAACAGAGTGGCAAGGGAGCCAGGTGAAACTAAGTAGTGTCCCCGGAAGGTTATGCCAGGGGGCAGCTCTAGCTTCCTCAACTTTCTGTATACTGAACTCCTAGCATTTTAAACCATACCCTCATCTCATTCTTTAGTCAAAATACATATTATTACATGAGAGTCCTTGTGGGCAGAAGTGATATGAATTGGAAGAAACCTACTCTTGGAATATAAAGATGCATTGACTCTTGGGAAGCTTCTGAATCCATCCCTGTGTGTATGTTCAGATGGCGTGACTTGCTGCCTCCTGTGGCTTATTCAGGACTTGATAACACATGACTAATTAGCCCACAGGAACCCCAAGCATTTCTTGACACTCTAAATCTCATGATGATGAATATTGTTGTCTTTTCTTCTGAGATACTCATGAAGCTCAGGACAGCATACTGAAGATAAGACTTGAGGAGGGACATTCTTTCCCATCCCAGTCTTTCAAGCTACCACCAAATGGGAAAATGATGAGTTTTACAAACATCTGATAAAAAGTATGATGGGTTTTTATCTCTCTCCATTTAGATCAAAGGAAGACCTACAATTACTACAGTACATTGTCATTTACAAGTGACAAACTATATGATGACTTTGGAAGAGAGGCTTCTAAAAATTTCACAGAAATGAGCCAGAGGATTGAATCAATGGTATGCATTTTTTCCTCCATTTCTAGGGCCATCACTTTTTTACCATAAAGTTTACTATCTTAGTTCTAAAATACCTATTCAACTGATCTTATGTATCTTTGCAAAATAAGAAGAGGCCCCGTACCTAAGAGATATAATATAAAAATAATAATAATACTTGACTTTAGAGAGTATAATGTGCAGAGCTGAACCGACTAACTTTAGCCATTCTATTATGTTTCTACTACTCACTCTTTCCTCTCTGGGGCTATGAGCTTAACCAGCAGAATCCAGCAATTCCAGGAATGTGCGGGTTGGTGTGTCCTAGACTTCTTAAAGAAGAGACCTTGAGCAAAAGGCCACAAGACTGAAGCTATTCATACATATACTTGAGTAATATTTTAGTATTTAAAAATACTTAACCTTGGGCCAGGTTTGGGTACATAGGTCTATAGGAAATCTGTGGATACTCATTATATCCTGAAGACATTAACATTATCTTGAGGGGTGAATCAAATATTTTTAAAAGTGGAAAAATAAGCAATATTGGCCAAAAGAACAAGGGCCTGGGCGATGACTTCTCATTGTCAGATTGCTTAGAAAATAATTTAGACTTTTCCCTGTGTGTTGTGAGGTAATCAGTGGTATGATGCGATGGAAAGCACCCTAAACTGGGAGTTGGGACACTTATTTTCAATACCATGTACTCGTTAGTGATGTGTTATTGGGTGCACCACTTATTCTGCACAAATTTCTTTATGTGAAGATTAGAACATTAAAAATAGATAATTTCTAAATTGTCCTCCAGTTTCAACACCTTAAGTAAAAACAAAATGGCAGTGCCCCTCCTAGAAACTGTCTGTCAGACTAAAAGCCTGAGGATTTGAACATCTAGCTAAGAAAGAGGTCAAATCTTGGTTGTATTTGTACTTATAAACACCAAATCAGGGATTTATCTGAATAAGCTCTTCATATATATATATATGAGGCTATATATATATATAACTTTTTTAAACCAGATTTGGAAACCATGTGACACTCATGCACTCATTTGTATAACCCAACTAACTACTTGGCAGAATTATTTCATTTCCCTTGTCTACATTTGCCTATATCTCAGGATTAGTTGGGTGAACATTTACTCTTACTTTTCAAAAAACAGCCTGTTTATTATCTTTCATCTCTTTCTGAGTGTAGCATAGCAGATGTCACTCCTGCCCACCCCCGACTATGGCTCCCTAGCTCCTGTAATTCCCAAGGCAAAGTTCAGTGGAAATCACTGAGTAGAATACTAAAAAGATTCCTCAAGTTTAGTACATGGTGAAATGTTGGTCAATGTGTTTTGTTTTGAATTTAAAAAAATTTTAAGCTTCAAATTAACTTGCAGAATTTCAGAAAATTGTTCTTGCTGACATAATTTGAATATTTTTGGAACAGGTGAAAAATGCATTTTATAAATCTCTGTTGAGGGGAGAATTTGTCACATCTCACATTATCAGATTCAGGTATGTAGATCTAAAATTATTACTTATGAATACAATTTAAAGCTGAAACTGTTAACATGACCAGTTATAAATACTGTTCCAAGTGTTATAATATGATGTAATTCAATTTAACAAATATTCACTTCATACCTGTTCTGTGTAAGGCATGGGTTAAAACATGCCTTGTTCATTCTCTAAATGCAAAAGAAAGCATTTGCAAGGTGATTGTGAGGGGCAGATGTATTACTGGTGGTTGTGTTATAGAATTGTTTTTTTGGAAACTCTAGCACAAATAGGTTCCTAAGTCACATTTTTTGGTTTAATATTAAATAGAGTAGTAGATGAGGTTTGTCTTTGGTTCTCCTTTATCAATTATTTTACTTTCTTCTATTCTACCCTTTCTGCTCCAAATATTTAAGATCTCAGATCTGATCATCAACAATGAGAATAAATAAAAGTTCAGAGCATAACATTTTAAGCAAAACAGTATATGAGAATCTTAATATATTGTCTTAATGAAAATTATTTGTATTTTTCAAAAATAGGATAAGAACTATCACCAATATTATTTCAATGACAAAAACTCCAAGAGTTACTTCTTAGACAGTTTCTATGATGATTTCTTTGAGATGATTACTTTGACCACTTTCTCCTGAGAATTCCATACCCTCTAGTATTTAAAATATTGTTCTTTTTTGGAGCTCCTTAAATTTTTACTTTCTGAAGGGGATTTCATCCATCCACGTGGCTTCATATGATATTGAAATCAAAGTTTATATTTCTAGTCTAGACTGTTTTCCTGACTTCCAGAACTATATGCCTGCCCGTGTACATCTCCACATGGAATTTTCACAGAAATATTTCAAACTCAAGGCAAATCCATTAATTCTAATAAGAAACCTGGAAGCCATTATGTACTCCTTCCTTTTCTGGGTTCCTTGCATGTTATGAATAACTAAGTTTTAACAATTCTATATGCAACCCACTTTCCAATTTACTTCTTCATCCCACTAATCTTGCTGCTCATTATTTTTTTCCCTCCTGTTACTGCAGCAGGAAGAAGTGAAGTGTGATGGAAAGCTGAAGTCAGTTTTAGAGATGTTGAATTGAGAGACTAGGACACATTATGGGCCTGACATAGGAGTCTAACTTGGGGGAGGAAAAGGGAACTGAGGTGAAGATATACATTTTCTCATCATCAACTCAAAGTATCAGAAAGCTGGATACGTGCGCGCGCACACACACACGGAATTTCTCAGAAAAAGGGTAATGAAAGACAAAAAAGTTTGATGAAAGCTTGAAGAACAATGATATTTATGGAAATGTAAGAAAAATAGGAACCTAGCAAATAGGGAGAGAGGAGGAAAAAAGAAAATTCATGACAGATGCACAAAAGTTCAAGGGAGTGGTCAGCATTGACAAATACTACTGAAAGACCAAGTAATATGACTGGAAAGGATTGACTAGATGTGTCAATTAGGAAGTCGTTTAGTGTACAGAAAAGAGTCAGTGGAATTGGAGGGGAAGAAGCAGAGTGCAAAGAAGTAAATATGAGGCAGAATGTAATTTATCCTTTCAAGAAGGTTTATTGTGATAAGAAGGTGGGACATAAATTAAGTATCTGGGGCAGAGAGAGGGTTTTATTAAGCCAGGCAGTATAGGAATAATTTAAGAGACAGAAGAAGAAATAATTGATATACAGGGTTGCTGAAAGGCAATGACATACATAACAATAATCTTTTTAAAGCTCTGTTTCTTCAGATTACAAAAGCAATATAAAAATATATAAAATTCATTAATAATTATATAAAATAGCAAGTGAAAGCTCCCTTTTCAATACCTCCACTCCCAGAAAGAATTCATCTTCTTGGCAATTTATATTGCATACCTTTTGAATGACCGAAAGTAAATCCATTCCATTCTTTAGCTGGGTGTTTAGTATTTCACTACAAGTACATATCAGGGTTGACTTAATCAATGACCTTTTGATGGACACTTGTGTTTTTACATATTTTTCTGATTTAAAAGCAAAGTTATTATGAACATATGCATACATATCCCCTTGTACACAAAAGTGAGTGTTTGAAGATTTAATGTCTAAAAATAGAAATACTGTATCAGAGAGGATGGATAATAAAATTTATAATAAACACAACTGATTTCTAAATTTATATTATTCTTGTTTACAGCTTATGTGAATAGGAGTCAGTGCCATGTAGAGGGAGGAGTAAGATTCTTTGGGAAGCGGCTGTATGTGAAAAAGGGTGTGGAGCAGCTGACAGAATGAGAAAGAACAGTTAAGGTTGAATCCAAGGCATTCAAATGACACTAAAGCTAATTAACACTCTACCTTGAAAATGCAGTCACATGAAGTCAACACAGTTTGGTCAAACTCTAAGATTCTTAGTATTGAGGAGCTGTTTAGGAGGGCCTGAAGGTGGCTTACGAAAAATTATTGGTTTAAGCCTGAAAACTAAAGCCAGAGTTGATTTTGTATTCAGTATATGTTACCTTTTATAATTTTGAAAGGCTGACAGGAGAAGTGTCTATTTTATATATTAATAACCATGTAGGTAACTGGATCCTTTGGCGGTTAGAGACCATGAACATACTAGCTTACTATTAAGGGGGCTGAGTTGGGAGTTTTATATGTGGCAAACAACAGAAATATAGAAGAAAACAAATTAGATCTTTAAATTTACATTTATGGATTTGTTTTCATGTGTGTTTCAAATGAATGATAAAGAAAAAATACATTATGATATTATCATAAATTTTATTCTGAACTGTATCTTTTAAAACCATCTTTTTTTTTGGTCCACAGTAAAGAGAAAAATGGAGTGTTGGCTCATATGCTGCTGATTTTTAGATTTCGTTCTACTGAGGATCCTGAAGCCATAAATAATATTATTCAATATGTCCTACATAAAAAGCTGCAAGATGCTGTTGGGCCTCCTGAATTAGACCCTGAATCAGTTGAAATAAAAAGTAAGTTTATTTTTCTATTTGGTTCAATTCACTTGCATACAGTAGCTCCCTAAGTTTGGTCTTGGGCAATGATTTTTAAAAACTACTTTAGATGCCCTTTATATGTGAGGTCTTACCACTAGCAGAACATTTCTTTGGTACCAAATTGGTTCTAATAAAATATTTTAATTTTTAATACTACCCACAACTTATGCCTCACCTGCAAGTCTGTCATTAACTCCCACCTGGGTTTTCTTTCTATATTGGGCCTTATATTTTAGCTTAGAATCCAGTGATAAAAGGAAAAGTAAGTTTGCATATTTATTCCCCTTCTTTTTCTTGTTAATGTATTTTATATATTTTATGTTCTGAGAGCGTGATGTCTGAAGTTTTATACTATCCACATATTTGCCTAGTTTCTTCCCTTAGAACATTTACCAATGAAAAATATTATAATTTATTTCTATGTATCTTTAGTATATTTTACAACTAACATAAAATTTCTGGAGGTTTTTTGTTTATTTGTTTGTTTTTGTGGGGATAGGGTAACAAAACAAGCAGTGATAGGCCCTCGTTCCTAGAAAGTAAGAAACACAAGATCCTCAGGAGAAACAAAAGTCTGGTTAAGAACTAAGTCATATTCTCGGAACAATGCCAGTCTATGCAAATATGCAGGCCAAAGGTATGATCTTAAAATTTTTAGTCGCCATTAAAAAAGTAAAAGTAAATATAAGAAATTCATTTAAATAGTTTGCGTATTTAATCCAATGTATCTAAACAATTATTATTTTAACAAGTAATCAATGTAAAAATTATTTGAGGTATTTTTTAGTATATGTTTTTGTACTGAGGCTTAGAGATCTAGTGTATATTTTATATTTATGGTACATTTCAATTTAGACAAGCTACATTTAAGAGCTCACTAGGCACATGTGTCTGGTGGTACAATATGGGAATTGGCAATACTAGAAAGGAGACAATAGGGGACAAGTAGAAAGCTGGTAGACTTAACTAGAAGCTTAACCTGATGGTCAGCTACCTTATTTACTTAGGAAGAGAGGCTTCACTCGTCAGGCTAGCTACATAATTTGTGGAGCCCAGTGAAAATAAAAATGTTGGACTCTTCAAAAAGCAATAAAAAAGGGCTGTTAAAGGTAATAAAACATGACTTTTTTTTCTTTCATGGTGTCTCTTGATTTGTAATAATACTTTTGTTAATGTAATTCAAAATGAAAAATTTTAAATTACTAGCATGAATTTTACTGTTCATATTCATATGGTGAAATTGTATTTCCTTATATAAAACTCACATTCCTGAGCTTTAACACAAAACTACTGAATCAGGATTACTGGGTAGAGAAATAGGAATTTACGTTATGAAGGTGCTCCCTATATGACTCTTACCCACACTGAAGCTTGTGAAACACTGTTCAGCCCTGACTGGTGTAGCTCAGTTGGTTGGACCTCCTTCTGCAAAATGAAAGGCTACTGGTTCAATTCCCAGCCAGGGCACATGCCTGGGCTGCATGTACGGTCCCCAGTGTTTCTTTCCCACATTGATATTTTTCTCCCTCTTTCTCCTTCCTTTCCCCTCTCTCTAAAATCTTAAAAAAGAAAACCCAACAACAAACCATTCTTCAGATGTCTCTTTTCCCCAAGGCAATGAACATACTATGTCAATGGTAAAATAACTATGTTACTTTCTTTACGACCTAGAGATATGCTATCTTAAAATGGAATTAAGCTGCCTTTAGTGTTTGAAGTATTCAGAGGCATTATGCAACTCTGATATACTGACCCTGTTCACCATTTCTGTGTATTTTAGAAATCAACAAGACAGAAACAGACAACTATCTGAACAACTGTAAGTTTAATATATTAATTCAAGTTACATGACTTGAATATAAAAAGGTAACGTAGTTATTTAGGCTTACTTCATGTGGTGTTAAGGTCAGGAATAAAGTTTGATTGGTCTGTGCACAGCTCATGGTGCTTTAGCTTATCTCTGAGGCACATTTATTACTAAAAAAAAATTGGGAGAATTTTGGAGTGGATATATGGGTGCCCGTGGCAGATGTGTAGTGGAAGTGAGGTGTGCGATTGTTAAAGAAGCAAAAAATACTCACTTCTTAATGTTCTGATTGAAGCTATCTATAATATATTCGCACAAAAGTTTTTTTAAAAGATTATAGAAAAGTAATCTGTATGTTGGCATTATTCAGGTAGAGGAAGAAACTTGTTACTCTACACTGAATAGCATTTTCTTGATGTTATTAATTCCATATTGTGGTACTCACAGGCAATTAGGGGGTTGGAGTATATATTGATGAAATTACCAAAGGTCCAGATAACATTTTGACCTGTATTTTTAAAAGATTGACTCTAGACCTAGTATTTCTCTTCCCCTCTAACAGAACATTCCACAGGATTTAGTGAATATATTTTGATAGTTACAGAATTAGTACAGAAAGTATTAATCTTAAAAGATGGAAGGAAATGCGCTACTCACAAATGCAGAATGAGACCAAAAGATAATCTCATTACCTAAATGGCATATATTCTTGCCACCAATATTTACTGCAGACTTACTATGTGCTAGTGCTATGTTAGGTGATATGACTATAGAAGATGAAATATACTCCCTGCCTAAAGAAGCTCATATTCTAATGGGACTTTGTGTACAGAGACTAGTACATGAACACAGCATTCTAGAACAATAGTTCTCAAATGAGGGCAATTTTGACCCCCAAAAGATTATGCCCCATGGTGGCATTTTTGGTTATTATGATTGCGTGTATGGTATCTAGTATGTATAGGCCAGGGATCCTTCTAAACATCCTATGATGTATAGGACATCCCCCCTCACAACTAAGAACTATTTGTCTCAAACTGTCAATACTTCCAAGGCTGAGAAACCCTGCAATAAAGGTTATCATATATTTTTTATACATATATATATATGATAGAGGTATATGCAGACACTTTATATAGAGTATTATTACTTTTTAAGTGTAAATATTAAAGAAAGTCATAACTAATCCAGTTTCACTGTGGGAAATTGTTGGAGAAGGCATCCTAGGGGAGGTAAAGACTGACTTAAATCTTACAACATTAATAGGAGTTACATAATGAAACACAATAGTTTAAGGAAATGTAAAAGCAAGAGAAAACGTTTGTTCCTACCGGATCAAAAAGCATGAGAAATTTGGAACGTAGTAACACAACTTGAAAGTTAAAAACACCTGCTAACTAATGCATCGTCTCTCTTTGGCAGGTTGTGGGACTCGAAGGAACAGAACCACAAAACCGAGTGTCAGGATCGTTGGTGGGACACCGGTAGAAGAGGGCGAATGGCCATGGCAAGCTAGCCTACAGTGGGATGGGGTCCATCGCTGCGGAGCAACGTTAATTAATAGCACATGGCTTGTGAGCGCCGCTCACTGCTTTAGAATGTAAGTCCTGAGCCTCGTGAGTGATGGGGGTAAGCAGAGTTCATTGGGGCTTGGCAAGAAGAAAATACCTTATGAAGTTGGGGAGAGATGAGTTTAGTATACATTAAAGAACATGAATGTCACAGAGAAAGTGGGTAACTCATAAATGTAGCGAGAGGTTTTACAGCCTGGAAGTGAAAATGGCATCAAAGTACATGTAGATAAGTTATCCATTGGAAAAAAAACACAATAAATTGTCAAAGAAGACAGGAATCTTAAGTCATCATTGGACTTTGAGCTTGATATCAAAGAGAAGAGCCATAATGTCTCTGCTGCATAGCTGTCAGAAATGGAGGCTAGGTGGTTGGTAGGTTTGGCCCAATGGGGACATTCCCCATGATAAGAATTAAATATGAAAAAATCTTGTAGTAACAAATTATTCCACTGAATAGGTTGGCTAGTTATATCCCAAGGGATAAACACTTTTCAACCCAGTGGGAAATGCCTAAAGTATACAGGATAGTAATGCTTTGTTAAATGTTTTCAGGGAAATGTGTATGTTCGAGGGGTAGGTGACATGGTGCACATAAAATGCACTTAATTCTCTCATTCTGCACAGGATGATATGCTTTCTCCATGCCCCTTGTAGTCACTGATGTCCAGAAATGTTGAAAGGCCTTAGGATGTGAAGTACATCCAAATTAGCATGGATATCCCAAGAAACACGCCCTTGTGGCCTTTCCACCTGATCTGGCCCACGAGCCAGATTCTCAGATTGCAAAAGTTTGTTTCTATACATAGAAACTGTAATTTTAAAAAGAAAATTCATATTGACAGATTAAATTGTTTCATGGAAATCATTATATTGGTATCATGGAATAGGGAATTTATTCTTCATATCTTCCTCCCCAGGTATAATGACCCAGCCAGGTGGACTGCCTCCTTTGGAGTGAAAATATATCCTCCTAAAATGAAACATGGCATCCGAAGGATAATTGTCCATGAAAAATACAAATATCCAGCACATGACTATGATATTTCAGTTGCAGAGCTTTCCAGCCCTGTTCCCTACACAAATGCGGTACATAGAGTTTGTCTCCCTGATGCATCCTATGAGTTCCACCCAGGTGATGACATGTTTGTGACTGGGTTTGGAGCACTGCAAAATGACGGTGAGAATCTGAAGAGAAACTCAAATATAGTAACCTAAGTCAGTATTCTAAGGCATTTAAATGACATAATGGAATGGAATGTCATTTTGCCAAAACATGTTAGTCAGTTGGTCATATGGACTTGGGCCAAGTCAGGCTCTGCTTGTGAACTAAGTCCTTTAGAAGATATGTAAATTCCTTCAGGCCTTAAGTTACTATCAAGTGCGTCACTACCACTATAGTGATGGTGCTTGGTCAGTTGTCTGAGAGAGTAAACATGTCTGAACTTTTTACTAGGGAATTAAAAACATAAAAGACGGGGGATCATTCATATATTCAATTGTGAAGATCAGAGAATCCTAAAACCACCATACCCTCCTACTGAAATTACCTTCTAAGCTTAACACAGTGGAAATTAGTTAACACAAGTTGAGGTTCTTTCTTAGGTGCGTAACTTTTTCACCCTTATGTACACATGTAGTGCACAAACTGAACTAACAAGGAAAATGGGGACATACTCATAGATGGAGAGCAGGATGGCAGCTAGTTTTGGGGGAAGGTTAGGGGATGGAGGGATTGAGCAAAAAGAAAAAGGACTCATGGACATGGATAACAGTGTGGTGATTGCCGGGGGGAGGCGATATAAGGGGACTAAATGGTAATGGGAAAAAATACACTAAAGATTAAATCAAAAAAGAAAAAATAAATGTAAAATCAAATAGTTAGAAAAGCATTATTTCCCCAAATATTACTGTATCTGAAAAAATACATTTCCAAATTTTCTATATCAGCATCTTGCCCAATAATTATTGAAAGGCTTTCATAATTATTTATAGGTTTGTAAATATATGTATATCAACAATGTAAACATGATTTTATTATCTTTAGGTAACAGTCAAAATCATCTTTGGCAAGTGCAGGTGAAACTTATAGACACTAAAACCTGTAATGAACCTCAAGCTTACAATAATACCATAACTCCTAGAATGCTATGTGCTGGCTCCTTGCAAGGAAAAAGAGATGCATGCCAGGTAAGTGGTTTGCTTATTAATATGATGCATAACTTTTTGTTTATCTTATAATTTTAAATAATAATAGATATACAGAAAGTTGCAAAGATAGTACAGAAGAGTCTCATGTACCCTGCACCCAATGTCCCCCAATGGTTACATCTCACATAACTATAGTACAATGTAAAAGCTAGGAAAATGACATTGATATAGTGTGTGCTTCTAGTTGTATGGCATTTTGTCACATGTGTAAATTTGTGTAACTACCACTTCAGTGGAGAACTATTTCAACACTGCAAAGATCTCCCTTTATAGTAACACCCACTTTCCTCTACCATCGATAATACCTGGCTAATCACTAATTTGTTCTCCATCTCAATAATTTTGTAATTTTGAGTGTTATATAAATAGAATTATATAGTAACTTCTTTTTAAAAAAAGAATTCCTTTGATTAGACTATCTCTTTGTAAAAAAAAAACCCCAAAACAAAAAAACCCAACACTTTGTGATTCCTCTAATTTACACACACATAATTTATCAGTCTACCGGTGGTTGGATTTTACTAGTTTGAGTGAAATGTACAACAGAAAATTTAACCTCCTCTCAAATCTCTTTATCTTTCCCCATTTATAATATTAAATAATAATAAACATAAATATTAAGTGTTTCCTCTACATATATTAGGAACTACATCTGAAATATTTTTGCTTTAAGTGCCAAAACATAACTTAGAAAACACGAGAAAAGAGGACTCTATCTACCCATAGTTTCATTCTTTATTCCTTCCTGGTTTTTCAGGATTCTTCTTTATCATTTCTTTTCTGTTTTAGAAACTTCCTTTAGCTATTCTTTTGGAGCAGATCTGGTGGTGACAAATTCCCTTAGATTTTTCTTTGGCAAAATATGTTACTTTCTATTAAATTTGGAAGTATAATTTTGCTAGATATAGAATTTGGGATTTACACCTCATTTCTTTCAGCATGTAAATCATGGCCTTCTTGATTTCTAATGAGGAATCTGTTGTTATTAGAAGTATTTTTTTCCTTATAGATGAGGTATTTCTCACTTGCTGTGTTCAAGATTTTTTCTTTGTCTTTAGTTTTCAGAAATTTCATTATGTGCCCTAGTGTGAATTTCTCTGGGTTAGCCAGTGTGGGGTTTCATCAACTCTTTAATCTGCAGTTTTATGCCCATTGACAAATTTGGGAAATTTTCAGCCATTATTTCTTTGAATACCTTTTGAGCCCCACCCCCTTCTTTTTTGTCTTCTTCAGGAACTCTAATGGCAGTCTTGCCGTTAAGTCTGTTGTTACAGTCTCAGAGGTCCCTGAACTTCTGTTGCTCTTGTTTTTTATTTATTTTTTACTCTCTTTCTCTCTCTTGTTCAGGTTGTGTAGTTTTATCATTCTTTCTTCAAGTTCACTGATTTTTAATTGTCATCTCCATTCTTCTGTTAAGCCTGCCCAGTGAGTTTGTTTTAAAGATTTTATTTATTTTTATAGAGAGAGGAAGGGAGAGAGGTAGAGAGAGAGAAATATGAATGTGTGAGAGAGACATCGATCAGTTGCCTCTCCCACGCCCCCAACCAGGGACCAGCCCACAACCCAGGCAGGTGCCCTGAATGGGAATTAAGCCAGTGACCTTTTGCTTTGTAGGACAACACCCAACCCACTGAGCCATGCTGGTCAGGGCTCCAGGGAGTTTGTAAAATTTTTGTTTTGATCATTTTATTTTTCAGTTCTAAAATTTCCATTTGATCCTTTTTTAAAATTTGCTATTTCTTTGCTGAAAATTTGAAAAAATTTGTTTCAAGAATGGTGGTAACTGCCCATGAAGACATTTTTGAGAGGGCTGCTTTGACATCTGTGTCAGATAATTCCAGCACCTGTGTCCTCTCAGTGTCGACGCTTGTGATTCCCTTCTCTCATTTGAGAATTTCTTGGTTCTTGGTACGAGAGTGATTTTTAAATGTGTCCCTGACATGTTGAGTATTGTAATGAGACTCTGGGGATTATTTAAATCTTCTATTTTAGCAGGTCTCCTCTGACATGACACTGGAGGGGAAGGGAGGAGCTGCCTCATTCCCCACTTGTTTTCTCTTGACACCTGGGTGGGGAAGCAGCGCCCCCTTACTGCTGGATGGTGGGTGCATTTCGGGCTCCCCAGTAGGCCTCCTCTGCTACCACACTGGCTGGCAGACCTCGTTACTGCTTCCCTTCTGGCCTCCACTGACATCATGGGGTAGCAGTCTTATTGCTTCTCGGTTGTTGTCAGAGTCTTGACCTTCCACCTGGTCTCCTCTGACATTATACTGGGAAATAGAGTTATGCCTCTGTACCACTAGGCTGTAGTCCATGATCCCTAGCTGGCCACAAGGGAGATAGAGGAGGCCTTTGTTGTTACCTGGCATGGATGATAGTCTGGCTCCCCACTGAGCCTTCTCTAATACCAGTCTGATGTGGGATGAAGCCTTAAGACAGCCTGGTAAGGGTGCAATCTAAGTGCCCCACTTGGCCTGTGCTGATTGGGGTTGGAAAGGGGTCACAGTATTTTTCTGTGTTTGGCCGGAGTAGAGATAATATTCTCTAAAAGACTTTCTGTCTTCCTTGGCTGCCCACTTTCTGTTTTGCTGTTTTGTTTTCTTTTTTGTTTTTGTTTTTGTTGTTTTCTTTTTGACTAGAGAAAGCAAAGGGTTTTTTTTTAGGGTTTTGTTTTGTCATTTGCACCTGTTGTCAGATTGCCAGGTTGCTGGCTTCTTTAGCTCTATGCCTAGGATAAGTTCAATAGGAAAAAAAAAAAAAAGAAAAGATCCAAGGTCCCAGGAGCTCACTGCTATGTCATTCCTTGAGTCCTGAGTTTCTAAGCTTATCTGACTTCTTCACTCTGTCTTTCAGCATCTTTTTACATTGGTTTTATTTTTAATACCCAGGGTTTTATGGTTTTTAGATGTATCTTGTTTGGGTAAAAGAGATAAGTATATTCCATCTTGGTCCACAGCATATATACCCCTTTGAATTCTGGTTTTGCTTTTTGGTACATAGGCTATCACTGTTGACTTTGTACCTTTGCCAGATATGACAACCAGGAACTCTATGTCTTCATGCATATTGCTGATCAAATCTTGAAGGGGATCAATAACTAATTCCTTAGTTATGTCCTTAAATACGCTTATAATTTTTATCTTGTGATTAAACAGACCTTATGTACAATGTGCTTTCTAAGTCTCATTTGGTCTTTGAAGTTCTATGCTATTTGATATGCTTTGCAGTCTGGGTTTAAAGAGTGGATATATTTAATTTTTGATGTTTTTATTTTTGCAACTTTCCTTTTTTTTCCTCTTTCTCTCTCTTTCACATACATACTGCACTTATTTTTTTTCCCTTCATTGACTTCACTTCCCTTAATGCACAGTTGACTTCAAAACAGGCCTTTCCCAATGTTTATCTCTGGACCAGTCACTTTAGTATTGTTCAGTTGGTTACATTAATTTCTTTCACCCAATTGACCTTTCTGCACATTTCTGGCAAATGCTCAAGATTAAACTGATTACATTGTGTTTCCTTTTTCTGGTGTAAGGCTCTATTTTTTCCTGAAGCAAGACATGAAACAATGTAGATAGATTCCATTACAAAGTTCTACAGAAAATACAGGTTGATTCTGTAAATAAACCTGCTAAAATAAAACAAACTTAATAAATGATCCATTGGAAAATATACTTGATCCTCATTATTTGCAGACTCTATGCGTGTAAATTCATGTACTTGCTAAGATTTGTTTGAAAACCCAAAGTCAATACTCAAGGCACTTTCATGATTATTCCTGAACATGAGCAGACTGGCAAAAAATTTGAGTTACCCAATGAACATGCTCCCACCTCAGGCCAAAAAAGGTGATGTTTATTGTTAAACTTTAATACCATAAACCTATCTCATTTTTGTGGTCTATTTAGTGCTAAATTTTCCATATTTTTGTGCTTTTTGTTGGTTGATTATGCTATTTAAAATAGTCCCCAAGTGTATAGTTATAAAGCAAAATGCAAGAAGGCTGTGATGTGCCTTATGGAGAAAATATGTATGTTAGATAAACCTCATTCAGGCACAAGTTATAGTGCTGTTGGCTGTGGGTTCAAAATTAATGAATTAGTATGTTAAATAAAGTGAACAAATAGAAACACAGATAATATTTGGTTATGTACTGATCAATTGATGAAAATCTGACTGAAGCCTCATGGAAACCTAACTCTATATTTCCCCTAGGAGCGATGATGATTCATTTTTTAGTAATTCTGTATATGCAGCAACTTTATAGAACATAACTACTGTGAATAATGAGACTCAACTGTATTTTATTTGACTTTTTGATAGACAAAAGAAACAGATCTACAATCATTGTTTAAACATTATTTCAGATCTTCTCTCATCTTAATCCTCTTCATCCTACTTGCCTCCAACTTTACTAAAACGACTGAAAACATCTTGTGCTTTCACACTTGTGATCATCATTTATGACCGTCATTCAGATACCTCAGCCTCTATTTATAGTAGCTTTCTTCTTGAATGTTTCAGAGGAACAGCTGTAGGCTTCTTTAGTCTTTTGTTTTTAAAATTTTATTACAGAAACTTCAAATGTATAAAAAAGTAGAGAGAACACTATAATGAACTCCCATGTACTCATGACCTAGCTTCAACAATTTTCCACTCATGGCCAGTCTTATTTCATCCCTGTATATACTAATACAAGCCCCTCAGACTTCCTCTCCATGACAAAACTTCAGATCTATTTTGAAATAAATCACAGATGTCATATAATTTCATCTGAAAATATATCCTCTATTCTCCAATGCCATTTTGATGATGGTGTTAAAGGTGAATGTTCTTTACAGATTTGGGAAATTGCAGATGAGGAACCAAGTTCATACCTGCGATTATAATGCTCTTCTTTTCTATCTTTGGAGGGATTTAGCACCAGTTTTTTCTTCTTTTATGACCAGCATTCACAATTTTGGTACTTGACCTGATCTCTGTATTTTAATATCTCAAAAATCAATAACCTCAGATGCAAAAATTTTTACTTGAGTCTCCTACTCTTTCCCATCTCAGTGACATTTGGCTATTAGAATATGATCCTTCATTGGGTTCATTGATTCTGAAATATGCTCACCCTTACCCTATCCCCCACCACAGCACTCAGTTCTGGTTTCTTCTTTCTCATCCTCTCTCTAAGCCTGGCTACCTCTTAAGACTTAGGTCCCAGGAGAAATTTTTCTCTGATCTCTCTGTATTCACTCAAAGAAGTCATCGTTTTTTGTTTTTGTGGGGGTTTTTTTTTTAACACAGCATCACTTTAATGACTTCCAAATCTACATGTTCAGAATTAATCTCTTGCCCAAATTTAGTCTCACATTTCCATTGACTCCCAAACCATTTTCACTTATATGTTTCCAGTTGTTAATGTAAGACTCACACTTGTATTTGTGCCATCATAAACTCAACAGGCATCATGAAATGTTATCTAGAGTTTCCATTTTCAAGTTTCTCGTACATATTATTAGGTTTCATTATTGCTGAGGACTGTTCTAGCTCCTTCACAATCAAGTCCTAGGATATTTTCCCTCTTTATCATATCTTCCAGATTTATCTCTTTTGTCTGCATTCTTTTTGTTAACACTTCAATGTATTCCTTCATTCCTTCTTATCATGATCACTAAAGTTGCTTCCTGGTTTGGCTTCTTCTGATGTTAAAAGTTTCTGTTTTGTGCATTCCTGAATAAAGTTCCTAAAGTTCCTGTTCCATTTCTCACTAAATAACTCACTAAAAATAATAGGATTTATAGTAAAATAGTATTAGAAAGAGATCAACAGACCCTGCAAAAAGCTATGCAACTTTGTAAACAGAAAATAATTGTACCTTGGAAAATAACTTGGACAATGTAGGCAGGCAGAATGCCCAGGCGGTTGGTGGCTGATTTTAGGGTGTTAAAAATGCACAGAAACAATGAATGGAAACACCGGCTTGCTGGGGCTGAAACAATGCACAAGAGAGCCTAGCTTTGAGCAGAGGAGGAAGTGCAACCTGCCAACATCTAAGAACTCAGCAAATCTGGTGCGAGCCTGTGTGTGTATGCATGTTTAGGTGGGTGGGGGGTAGTCCTAGGCACTGGCACTTCTTAAACATTTTGTTGAAATAGAACCTCTAAAGCTTCTGCCTCTGAAAAGCTGAGTTGATTGCCTTTTCCTTTTCATCTGAAGATTATAATTCTCTTTTATTATTCTGGCTTCCCTGAATGAGATGAAACATGAAACATGTAAACCATCACTTCTATCACTAATGTTGGCAGAACAGACTATATCTTTCTCTATTTAATACTTGGTGGACATCACCTTATTTTTCCTCTGGTAATGCTGTTGGATACATTGCCGTGCTTTTTCTTTGATTACTTTATTCTCAGACTTCTTCATTCCTGTCTCTTGAACAGATTTAAACTTTGTCGTCTCTGGCATGTACTATTTCTTTATGCTAATCTGCTCTACCTTGGTTTGGTTTCAATCCTCAAAATGATTTATTTTCAAATAGCATCATATGGTACATCTTATTTCTATAAATAGATTGTAAGCCCCTTGAGGGCAAGGCCCACGTGTGTCCAATCTTTTTATATCTCCTCCGACCACATATGAAGACATCAGTAAACACTTACTGGTAATTGATTTAAAATTACAAACACATTGTTGAAAATTTAGCTATTATGAGTATTAGTTAATATTTTTACATGGACAAAAGAAAATTCACAAGGAAGTTTGTATAATGCTGAGGGGGAAAATATGGGCTTCTAGATTCAAATTCAAGTTCTGCCACGCTAGCATGTGACATTAGTTAAATTACTTAATTTCTTTGAGTTTCAGTTTCCTTAACTGCTAAAGTGGACAAAATGAAACCCAACCTCATGTTTTGTTGCCAGACTATAGGTATTAGTGAAATAATATATTAATTAATTAAGAGCTTCATAGAATGCTGAATCCTAAATGGGTGGTCAGTAACTTGAGATCCCGGGAATCCGAGCAATGATCAGCCAGTACCTTACCTTTATGACCTCCGTAAGGAAATGGCCCTCTGGAGTTCACAAGATATAAACAGTTGGAGTTTATGGCTTTGTATATGAATTTTTTAAGTTCTGCTTTGTTCCAAGGTCTATGCTAAGCACTTTATACTCTCTTTTATATAATCTTCAGAACAATCATCAGAAGTAGGCATTATTAGGAGCATTTCAAATAAGTAAATTAAAGATCTTAGCCAGTTGGGAAGGGCCAGACTTGAGATTTAAGCCCAGGCATTTGGCAGTAATGTTCGTGCTCATTATCAGTAATAGACTCATCGCTCTTCTTTTGGGAGTTATGTGACATCGATACAGAGGCAGCCGGTATAGGTAATTTCTTTGTCAGATGTACCAGATAGGTTAAAAATACTGTTCTCCGAAGAGATTGAGCCTTTAATGTCAGTGTATTAAACCATGAGACTACGGAAATTCTCCAGGCGGTGAAGCTCCTCCTTTATGTGAATTATAACCTACGGGGACATTGCTTGTGCATTTGAACACAGTGAAGGCTTATGAAAACCCTGCCTTTTATTAAACTCAAGTTAAAAGAAAAATAGCAGATATCGCTAATGAATAAACTACTAATTATTAATCTCTTCCTTCTCCTTTAGGGTGACTCTGGAGGACCACTGGTTAGTCCAGATGCCAGAGATATCTGGTACCTTGCCGGCATAGTGAGCTGGGGAGACGAATGCGGGCAGCCTAATAAGCCTGGTGTTTACACTAGAGTGACAGCCTTCCGGGACTGGATCACTTCCCAAACTGGGGTATAAGACAAAAAACCTAGTGGAGGAGAAAGTCTTTTTGTTTATAGGTCATTTTTAGAGACGCAGAATTGCAGAAGCAGCTTTGCAGGTCACCACGATCTGACATAAAAATGAAACTCTGCTTGATGCATTATTTCCTTCCTAGCTCTGCTCCACATGTAAGCATCCTGCTTTTTCCAGATGGATTGTCTCAACTTGCATTCATTTATTTTCTAGAAGTTTTCTGTCACTTATGCCTCATTGACATAAGCTTCTCATGCATATATATAATTTGAAGTGATTTCTTTCTTCATTTCCCCAGCTTCTGTCTTAGTAAAATTCCCCTATAAAGGTGCAGGACAAAGAATAAAAGAAAATACAATAAAAACACTATTACATTTTTATGTACAGAAAAATATCGTTTTTTTTTCCGAATAGAATAAGGAAAATGATGATATTCATTATGAAAGGTCAAGCAGAGACAGAATACCAAACACTTCATGATGAACAAAGAATGAGGACTAAGTTAAGGAAATACAAACAGAAATAAGATGTCACTTTTTTCCCCATTTCCAGGCAAACAATCACAGAAATAAATGTGGGGAAGATTCTGTTTTCTTATAACCAATAATAATTACACAAACTCTATATAAAGCAAGTAATATTTATTTAACATTGCACTGATGAGGATGTTAATATATAATAAAAAATAATAAATCTTTCATTTGCTTGACATTATAACATGATAGTTCATGAAGTAGAAAAAGATGGGGAAATGTCACTAATTAATTTGTAATTAATTTGTTAGTTAATGTAACTAATTAATTAATTCATTGCAAGTTCTTTAAAAATCTGAGGCTAAAATGAAAATTTATTTAAGAACAACTAGCATAATGTATACGGTAAGATTTTTGTGTGGTTGAATGGGAGGGAATGAAGAGAGAATTAGTTCAAACTAGTCAATGAAATGGGATTATCACCAAGTGCTTGTGTATTTATATTTGTATTTGAAGCCTTCCCACACTGCAAAGCCTTGCATGCGAATAAAATCCAGATGTTAGTATGTAGTCATGGTCATGGAAATGAAGCTAGAGCTCTTCCCCACATTTATTTCTGTAGCCCCATTTCCAGCACTTTGAAATAATTGCGGACTTCCTTCCCCACTTATGTGTTTCCATCCCATGCTTGCACTGTGGGTTTATCTGGGTTTGGATGGGAGGATATGAGAGGGAAGATATTCTGGAAGCTGACTCCCTGCATCTAGAATGGCACTGCATTACTAACTGCTTGGATACAAAGTGGAAGAATAAAAACCTAATTATCATAATTTCAATCTTGGTAAATTACTACTGAACCGTTAGAGACACATTTAAGAGGTCTAGGCCCTTATGAAGAAGTTAGGGCTGGTGCCATGACATGCATCACGTTAATGGTGAGAGTTCACTGACTCTTTCCTTACGCCCCCTCGTTGCACACAGCTACTTACTCGTCCTGTGTGGTAACACAACCACCCTGAAACTAACATTATCAAGAGCATTTGACCTTAATTGGCCCAAATAACATTGGCATTGTGAGCTGATAAAATTTAGGCACTTGGCTAAAGTAAGATATGAAAACTGACATGAATCGACAATGTTAAATATTTTGCAGATGCTATTTTCTTCCATTTAATAACATATGTTAAGAAATAACAAAATTGAGGGAAGTGATACATTTTAAACCAAGATTTAAGTACATTTTAAACTAAAATACTCTCAGTGTTCATTAAAAAGCGATGTCCCATATTTCAGTATATTCTGCAGTGGGGCCTCTAGGTGGCACCCGCAGGCTGCGGCAAGATTTAGGGAAGCGTGATGTCCGTCCGTGCCTTCAAGTACTCAAGAAAACTGTAGCGGAAATTCTGAATTAGGGTCTCGCAAAACCAAAGAATACAGCTCATGAAAAGGCATTTATAAATACATCCATGTATGCTGGAATCATGGTTAATATTTTCCAGATTTCTGGAGGTGAGTTAAACGAAAATAAAATTAACACGTGACATGAAGCATTTCCTCTGCAGACTAACTTGAAGAGATTTAAATTGACCAATTTTAGTTTAATTTCACGACAGCACCATATTCTTTAGAGAAATATTTTTTCATATTTTCAAAGGATATGAGAAATAGAAGTTGAGTTACTGTGAGCGTATAAGCAATAATTTAAACAATGTGCACAGAGTAAATGGGTAATATTGTATATTTTTAAAAGGACAACTTCTTTTGAAAGGTAACACGGAAAGGGTTTAAACATTATTGGAAATGTATGTTTTAACCAGTTCATTGGAGAAAGTTGCCATGATCAAAATAATATTTCCCAATTGTACAAAAGGGTTGGTGATTTCTCTTTTCTCTTTCCTCCCAAAGGACCTAGTAAAGTCCTCTGTATCTAACAGTTTTTCAATAAATGTTATTGAACTGCTCTTTTATTTTTGTATTATTTAGGAAGCATAGCTTTATTATTTTTTACACATTGATTTTAAGGAGTAATGTCAGACTTTACACTGTGTGACAAACTACTTATTTAAACGCTCAATATTTTACATCAAATGATTGTTCTTGAAACATAGTAGGTGCTCAAGAAATTGTGTTATTGTAATTGTTGTTGTAATCAAACTACAGATTTGTTTTGAATAATTGGTACTTGATTATAATAGGTTGAATAAATATTTTTGAAATGAAGACATAATTAGAACAAGAGAATGGGCTGTTTTCTTGTTTAATTCTGATTCTACAAAAAATACACACATACACACACACACACACACACACACACGGATAATTCCAAAACATATTGTTAAGTTTTTCTCTATTATTGTAATTTTTCATTTCAACTTTTAAAAACTTATTAACCATAGAGTAATTGCATCAAGGTCTGTTGTTCCAGTTCAAATGATGCCTCCTCCATGAAGCCTTCCTTGACTCCCTCAAGTGGACATAACATCTTTTCTGAAATGCCTTACCATTAAAAAAACTTTTTATTTTCAAATAATGATAGGCTGATGTACAGTTATAAATCATAATACATAGAGATCCTGTGTCTCCTTTAACCTATTTCCCCGAATGGTAACATCTTGCTTAGCAATAATAAAATGTCACAACTAGGAAGTTGATATTGAGACAATGCATCAATCTTATTCAGATCTCATCAGCTTAAAAAACGTGCAAATATGTCTGTGGCTGTGTATTTTGTTTCATGTAATTTTATCACATATGTGGATTTGTGTGACCACCATCACAGTCAAGGTACACAATAGTTTGATTGCAACAGTTCCTTATGTTACCTACAGCTACCTAGCTTCCTCCCTACCTCCATCCTCAGTCTCTAGTCCCTGAGTACCACTAATCTGTTCTATACCTTATCATCTTATCAATTCAAGAATGGCATATAAAGATAATCATAGAGTATATAACCTTGGCAGATTATTTTTTTTTCACTCAGCATAATTCCCTTAAGATCAATCCAAGGTGTGTGTGTTAATAGTTTATTGTTTTTTATTGTTGTGTAGTATTGCATGCTATGGATATACCACAGTTTGTTTATGCATTCACCAACTGAAGGGCATTCAAGTTGTTTATAGTTTGTGGCTATTATGGAAAAAAAAAGCTATTATAACATTGGTGTGTAGGTTTCTGGGAAATATAAATGTTCATTTCTCTGAGATTAATGGCCTTGAGTACATTAATGGTTGTATGGCAAGTACATATTTGGTTTTAAAGAAACTGCCATATTGTTTTCAGATGGCTTCTTACCATTTTTTAACCTCTCTGTACCTATCCTCTTTACTCACTTTTTTGATTATGTGTGAGTAGATCTGATTTTAACACTGACCCATAAGTCCTGTAGGGGTAGGGACCATGACTGATTCATTTATAGCTTCCACAATTCATAGAAAAGTATATTACTTATGCCATGTTCAAAAAAGATTTATTAAATAAAGAGTAAAAAATAGTAACAACAACAAGCAAATACAGCAATGTATGTAAGATGAAATACAAGAATTTCTTTGGGTAAAGAAGAAAAGTACTGCCTTCATGAGTGTATTTTGCCCTAATTTCTATAATTCTGGACTTTATGACAGTACCTGTAAGTATCTAAAATTAGTTGCTATAAAACCTTTTCATAAGGTACACAATGAAGCACACACTTAAGATGTGGTTTTTATCATGATCCAACCCTCACCCTTAAATTTATTTCCTGATACATTTATATTTAAAATATTAAATGGTTTTCTGATATATTTTTTTCAGCTTCTATGCTGTACTCATGGAATCAATTCCAGAATAGGAATATACTTCATAAAATATTTGTTTGTCTTAATTTTTATAACCATGACTCTATAATTTGTTTGTCTAATATAATTTTTATTGTATACTTTTCAAGGTGTAGGGAGAGATGGAGGCCTATAAAATGTACTTAGATCTTAGTTGACATTGATCCATTCATTAATCAGTACCTGTTTGGCATAGCTGTATTCAGCTTAAATAAACACAATAGTCTATCACCATAACAACTGCCTTGCATACTCCTGTCTTGCTTCTTTTTTTAGTTCACCACTCTGTGACACTTGCTTTTTACCAAAATACTGATAAAATGCAAATCTTCACCTTCTCTTTTTCTATACCATGCAGTTGAATTTGTTTGGAGAAAAATATACAAACACTCTGACTGATCTAAATTCAAATTCATGATCACAAATTCCAGCATACTCTTTAGGCACCCCCACCCTCCTACTATGCATCACATTTAACTCTCCCACTCTCCTAGATCTGCATTTCACATTGTTCCTCTTCTCAGCTCTCCTAATATCATTTCATCCCCAACTCCGCTGAAGAGCTCACTTCCGTCTTTCACTGATAATTGAAGCATTTGGAAGAAATCCTCCACAACCTCTACTTACCAGCAGCTGCATCCTCACTCATGGCTTTTCTACCTCTTGCCCAGGCACCGTGATTGAAAGCTAGTCCCTCCCCTTGCATACTAGGTCCTACCTTCTGTCACCTACCTAAGGAATTTGCTCCAGGAACTCTTCTCTCCCTTTCCTGTGTGGTCAAAATTTCCTTTTGTTTTTTCCATCATCTTAAAACAAACAAACAAATAAACAAAATACCAAGGAGACCCCAAAATTATCTTGACCTCACTTTCTCTACCAGCTGCTGCTACAAGACTTTGCAGGAAAGTTTCTCTAACAAATCTATTATTTCTTAAGCACACTTCAAACTTTGGCTTTATAATGTACTGCTCTTTTCAAAGACATTTATAGCCTCTACATTGCTAAATCTAATGGTGAATTCTTATCTTATATGTCTTATCAATAGCATTTTGTAGAGTTGATTTTCCCTCCCTCTTCATTAACCTTCTTTTTCTTACTGGGTACAACATATTCCTGATTTCCTGCTACTCTCTGACTTTGTATTCACAGGCTAGTTTTATATTACAGTTGCGACCCTTGTTCTTGAATTCTTAATACTGTCTTCCTCCAGGACTAAGACCTTGTTACACTTCTTTCTTGAAACTCATTCAACCTCATGGTTTTAAATATCATATACAGATTTTTATTTTCAGTCTGAACCTCCCTCCCAAAATCCAAACTTATATGTCCAATTGCCTATTGGTTATTTCCATTCCATATCTAATGATCATCTCAAACACAACATGTCATTTCCGCAAATGTGTTACACCCTCTGTCTTCCCCATTCGCTCAGTGACATTCTTTCCATTGTTCAGGCCCCAGCCTTGCTACCCACTTCACTCTTCTTTTCTTCTCACATCCCGCATCTAAAACTTTTCTAGTATATTAATATTCTTTGGAATTTTGCCTACACTCAAGCTCATTTGTCAATTGTTTGTAAATCAACTTCCTGCTCCCTTTTGAAAAAAATGTAATTTGCCATATCTTTCATTTTCTGAATTGCTGTAATTCCAGGGACATTAGCTTCAGTAGTCAAGTAATCATTTTCAACTATTTTTTTTACCATGGAATAGAGTTCACAATGACATTTATAATAGCAAAGTAGCTTCCTAAATTGTTTTTTTTCCTCTTGAGCTTCTGCTCTTTACAATTTAGCCTCCTGCTTATGAGTTGTCAAGGCACCTCAGTTAGTCTACAGTTTTCCCTCTTTAGACATCAATTGGAGTAATCAACTTATCTGGGCATTTTATTGCAGGAATTAGTTTCCAGTTTCCTCAACTTCCAAAATTTGTATTTCAAACTACAACCTCTTTAACGAACTCCAGTTTCATGTAAGCAATCGCCTATTCAACAGCCCCCGACTCCAATAGATTTCTAAAAGCCCTTCCTAATGGAGCATGTCTAAGAATGAGGTTTTGATTTCTAGTTTCCACTCCCTATTTTCCTGAGTGTTACCATCTCTGGTAAGGGCATTACTTGCAAATCCAATTGCTCAGGCTCCAAACTTCCTACCACAATCAATTCATCAGCAGATTCTGCCAGCTCAGCCTTAAAGGTATCCCAGAATTCAACAATTTCTTACTATCTCTGAGTCCAAATGGTCATTCTGTCACCTGGACAAACTGCAACAGCCTCTTAACTCCCTTACTCCTGCTCCTGCTCAGCCTTGACACCCAGTTTCTTGCTTTACACAGTCACTGGGAGTGTAAGTTTGACCACATGATTTTCTGTTTTAAAACCTCACAATATCTTTCTACCAAATTTAGAATAAAATTCAAAGTTTTCATTACATCCTATAATGGCCAATAAATACTATTTCTCTTTATTTCCTTTATAACTTCTTATCCCTTTACTATTTTTCTAACTCACCACTACTTTGGCCACTTTGTAGTCCCTCAAGCAACTCATGAATTCTCCTGCCCCATATTTTAGCTTTTCTCCTTGAAAAGCTATTTCCCTAGGTAGTCATGTGATTTACCCCCCTCTCCTTATTTCATTTAAGTCATTGTTCAGAGTGGCTTACTTTGACCACCTTATCTCACCTAATAGCCTTTGTTACTCATTTTCCGTTTATCCTACTTTACATCTTTTCATAGCAATCATTTCTCACTGATGCTATTGGCACCCCCACATAAATACATAGATAGATAAATAAGTAAATATTTGTTTATTGTTTGTCTTCTATACTGTGATGTAAAGTCCATGAGGCAGGAAATTTGCTCTTTTGTTTGGTGTATGTCCAGTGTGCCTGGCATATAGCAATTGTTTAATTATTATTTATCAAATGAATAAATGAATGGAACAGAGCCTTTATACCTTGAGACCACCTAAGAAGGAATCTAAAAATAAGTTAATCAGGGCTCAGGATGCTTGCCATTGTTTTCCTTTGTCTTAAATAAATGGTTTATTGTTATTCAAGTACTGTGCTAATTGGTTGGTTTTCTTAACATCCTCATGACCAGAAAACAGTACTTTGATTAGGAAACATAATACAAATGTTTTATTTTTGGTTCACTGTTGTTGGTTTTATTTTTTTAAGTGTTTGAACATGTAGTCACATGTGTTCCATCACCTACCCTGGGAATGAGAACAGCTTTGTTGTCAGAGTTCTAGCATTAGTCTCTCTCCTTAAGCTGGAGAGAGACACTGCACTCTTACATCAGGCCACCAATAGTTCTAGTTTCTCATGTAAGGCATTAAATTAGTTATCTATTGCTTGAGAAACAAATTACCCCAAGACTTAGCAACTTAAAACAAAGAAACATTAATATCTGGCAGTTTCTGTGGGTCACAAATCCAGGTGCAGCTTTGCTGGATGCCTCTGGCTCAGAATCTCTCATAAAGCATCAATCAAAGTGTTGGCCAGGGCTGTAGTCAATTCAAGGCTAAATTGGAGAACTTGCTCCCTCACATAGCTAGCTGTTGGGTCCTTGCTGGCTATTGCCTAGAATCATCATCAGCTTTTACTTAGGGCAGCTAACAACATGGTAGCTGGTTCCTTCAGACAGAGCAGCAACAAAATGAGAGAAAGTGCCTGTATTAGTTTCCTAGGGCTGCTGCCATAATGAAGTACTTCAAACTCAGTGTCTTTACACAACAGGAATTTCTTAACTCAGACTTATGGAGGCTAGAAGTCTGAAATAAAAGTGTTGTCAAGGCTATGGTACCTTGGAAGGCTTCATGGAAGAATGATTTCTTTCCTCTTCCTACCCTCCAGATGTTGCCAGCAATCCTTAGCATTCCTAGGCCTGTATCCTTATTACTCCACTCTCTAACTCTGTCTAGGAGAAGATGGTTACTCTGTGTTTTCTTAGTTAGGCTCTCTCTTTCTCCACGTAGGTTATTGCAAATCATTTACTATCTCCTTAAGCCTATAATTTTGTCACCTTCTACTTAACAAAAGAACTTGCCTTCATTTTTACTAGGAAAAATTAGCACATACATATGTTTGACACTAAACTTACTAACATACATGCTCTGTTTTACTCTTTCCTCCTTCCCTACTGTTGAAGAACTGAGATATGTTTTGGATGCCTTCTCCCATCATGTTCCTTCAGAGGCTCCAGGGGAAAATCCATTTCCTGCTTCTTCCAGCTTCTTGTGGCTACCGTATTACTTGGCTATGATCATATCACTCTAATTTCTGCTTCCATCTTCACATGCCCCTTTCTTTTCCATGTGTTTAATTCCCCTCCGCCCCTCTAACAAAGACACTTGTGGCTGGATTTAGAGCCCACTGGAATAATCAAGAATAATCTTCCTATGACAAGATTGTTAACTTAATCATGTCTGCAAGGACCCTTGTTCCTCATAAGGTGACATTTCCAAGTTCCTTGGATTAGAACCAGATACCTATAGGTGGCCATTATTCAGCCTACTACACCCTTCATATGAATCCACAATATACCCTACATGGATGATAATAAAATACAATCTGGTTTTTGAGAGAAGGACGGGACAATGATTTGAAAGTGGCACTGAGGAGAAAGGAGCACTTCCACTCCACCCATAGGGGGAGTGGTAGAGGGAGTAGGGGAGAATGAATAACCACTATGTGAGAGGGAAACAAAGGAAACTGTGTACTGGAGGAAGGTCAGGTTCCAGTTAGAGCAAGAAAATGAAGAGGTTGTTTGGAGGAGATTGAGGACATGAAAGAATTTTCAAAAAACATACTGTGGCTTCCACAGTGTTGGAGAAAGAAGTGACGGACTCATATTAGAGAATGGGGCAAGTAAGAACGGGGAGTGTAAGAGGTGAGCGGTGTGAACAAGGACACAGTGCAGGAGGGGTTAGTCCTTTAGCCTCCAATGCAATTTATGATGAAAAGTCTGTGAGAATTGGTGTTGAGGAGAAAGAAGGGTGAGAAAGAGGCTCCCCAGGAATGTAGGAACCAAATGAGAAAGATGTCCGGACGAACTGAGTCAAATCCTTATCAGAATTTTGTGGGAAAGAATAATTTCTTTTGCAATTGTTATTCATTATTATACACCCTATGAATTTATTAGCTTTCATTTTGATTTTTAATTTTTTTATTGAATGATTTGAGAGAGAGAGAGAGAGAGAGAGAAATATACACTGACTTGTTGTTCCACTTATTTATGCATTCATTGGTTGGTTAATTACTGTGTGTGCTCTGACTGGGGATCAAACCCATAGCTGTGGCTTGGAGACAATGTTCCAACCATTGAGCTACCAGGCCAGGGCTTATTTTGATTTTTAAGATTAGAGATACTGCCTAAAAAATTAACTCTATATTTAAAAATAAATATGAGGAGAGTACTAAATAAATTGCATTCAATGTGCAATTTAAAAATGAACTTTTTCCACAGAAAAATATGTAGGTAGGATTCCAGATGATACTACTAGTCAGGAAATCAGAGTTTAAACCAGGAAAGAAAATCTGCCTCTTCAAGTGAGTGATTCTAAAGTTAAAAAACAAAACAAAACAACAACGGCAAAACAACCTTATGTGGAGTATGTTAGTATTTTCAGCAAGTTGAAACTATATTGCAAATCATAAGAAAATATGTAGTATATATAATTTGAGTAGTTCTTTCTACAATAACTTGGAAATTATAAGGAGAATTTAAAATGTGTAATTGTATAAACTCAAGATGGATAAAAGACTTTAATATTAGTCACGATACCATGAAAGTCCTAGAGGAGAACATAGGCAGGAAACTCTCAGATATCCCACGCAGCAGTATTTTCACCTAGAGCAAGGCACATAAAGGAAAGAATAAACAAATGGGACTTCATCAAAATAAGAAGCTTCTGCATGGCTAAAGAAAATATCAGCAAAATGAAAAGGGAAACAACTGTATGGGAATATATATTTGCCAATGATACATCAGATGGGGTTTGATCTCCAAAATATATAAAGAATTCACACAACTCCACTCCAAGAAGACAAACAATCCAATCAAAAAATGGGCAAAGGATCTGAACAGACACTTCTCTAAGGAGGACATACAAAGGGCCCAGAGACATATGAAAGGATGCTCAGCATCACTAGCCATCAGAGAAACACAAATTAAGCCACAGTGAGGTACCATTTCACACCAGTGAGAATGGCCATCATAAACAAATCAACAAACAAGTGCTGGCGAGGCTGTGGAGAAAAGGGAATCCTAGTGCATTGCTGGTGAGAATGCAGGCTGGTGCAGCCACTGTGGAAAACAGTTTGGAACTTCCTCAAAAAGCTAAAAATGGAACTGCCTTTTGACCCAGTGATTCCATTGCTGGGATTATACCCTAAGAATCCCAAAACACCAATTGAAAAGAACGTATGCAACCCAATGTTCACAGCAGCACAATTTACAATAGGCAAGTGCTGGAAGCAACCTAAGTGCCCATTAGAAAATGAGTGGACCAAAAAACTATGGTACATTTACACAATGGAATGCTATGCAGCAGAAAGAAAGAAGGAACTCCTACCCTTCGCTACAGCATGGATGGAACTGGAGAGCATCATGCTAAGCGAAATAAGCCAGGGGGTGAAAGACAAATAACATATGATCTCACCTGTAAGTGGAACCGAACCAACAAAGCAAACAAGCAAGGAAAATATAACCAGCAACATTGAAAGAAAAAAGAAAGCAACAGAAACAAGAGGGAAGGAGGAAGGGGGGTGGCAGGGAAAGGAAGGGGAAGGGTCAAGTCAAGGAACATGTATAAAGGACCCATTTGGACAAAGCCAAAGTGGGGAAGGATTGAGGGCGGGGGGCGCAGGGGACGATGGTGGTGTGAAAATGGAGACAAATATATTTGAACAATAAAACAAATTAACATAAAAAAAGGAAAAAATAAGTCATTGTATGAACAAAATTACATTTATCATAAAGAATTTTAGCCCTAAAGAGTATAGGTTTCAGCACCAGTATATTTAAAATTTCACATTTTTAGCTAAATAAATATAAACATTCATTTTCTCTTTATGAAAATTCCATTTGAAAAGTACATTGGTCTGTTTCTTAGATGCCTGTGTGGCTCTGGTAACAGAACTGAGTTAAAATGCATCCCACCCTGCCTTACTATCAGGAATCCTTGCACCTCAGTGTCCTGCCAAAAAAGGGGGAACAATCCCCGCCTTGCAGCAATGTTCAGCAAAGTCATTCCTCCTTCCCTGCTTTGACTCCTCCACACTCTGGGAAAAAGTGAATATCCACTCATTTGTAGCACATTCCCAAATTTAAATTATAAACTGAGATCATCTACGTAATACCAAACTGAAAAATTCCCCCCCAAAAAGGAAAAAAATATAATGATGAAAAAAAGTAAAGGACATCGGAATGAGTATCTGTTCGACATGTCAGTTTTCTTGAAAAAAGTCATTGTTATTATAATAACAGTATCTACATGTGTTATAAGAATATTTGATTTCTCTCATCACATGTAACTTCCATAGATACAGATGAATTTTTTCCTGTATTTTTAAAAAAATATTTTATTTATTTATTTTCAGATAGCGTGGAAGGGAGGAAGAAAGAGAGGGAGAGAACCATCAATCTGCGGTTGCCTCTCTCACTCCCCCGACTGAGGACCTGGCCCCCAACCCAGGCATGTACACTGAGTGGGAACAGAACCTGCAACCCATTGGTTCACAGGATGACACTCAATCCACTGAGCCACACCAGCCAGGCTTTTTCTGTATCTTTTCTGTACCCTTACAGCACATTGCTTCCTAGATATGGACTGATGATGCATTCTATAGACAGGGAATAGAGTCGCTCAAAATCTAAGTTAACTGAATGACATATTGATCAGAAACATATGTCTCATGAGTTTAATAAATATGAAACACTTTCCTAGCGCTGGATTATTGTGGACTTTATTGATAAAACTGATCTTCTTATATTGCTATTTTGTAAACTAGATCTTGTTAGAGGTGAGCTTATCAAGAACAGTGTAATTAAAAAAAGCTTCCGTTAGCCCACCAGCCAAGCTAACCGAAATATTATTTCCAATGTCAAAGAAAATAGTACTAATAAGAATTAAATACTGTATAGGAATAAACAAGCAATAGAAAGACAGAAGTTCTTGCTTCTTGTTCCATGTTGTAAGATTTGGACGATCAATCTGTAAGTGCTTATTAGGAACCTGGAATGTATAAAAAATTACTACAAGACATAAACTACATTTCAGGACCTTATAATTGACTGGGGGAAATAAGTATGGCACAAATTCAAAAGTAAATAATAATTAGTTGTTTAAAAGTATGTGAAATTATTTTAGAGAAAATTATAAAATTAATGTGGGCCAGATATATTGCAGAAGATTCAGTAGACAGTACTTTGATTTTGAGGATCTTGAAAAATAAATGCATCTAGATGCAAATACCATAAAAAAGCTTTTGGAAAAATATAAACCCAGAAAGAGGAAATGCTGTCATAAGGTGAATAATTCCAGTTGCTACAGAGCATTTGATTAACTCATTTCAAGCTGGTATTAGGACTTCATGGTTAATTGAAACTGGAATATGCAGTCAGTGGGATTGTCCTTTGAACAATATATGTTCTATAACTCACTCATTTAACGCATGATGCTTCAACAAGATAATAAAATAACATGATGTATGTGCTTTTGTGGTTATGAAGCCAAGAGGAGGAAGATGACATAAACACTCAAAATTTTAGGCTTTGTTCAAATGGAGGAAAGGCTCATCTTGGGTAACATGGAAAGCTGGAGAACCACACCAGTCCATAGTTGCTATTTCTAATATGAGAAACAAGTTAAAAAAAAATGAAAAGTTTGGAAATAGACCCACATTTGATATCTACTCGATTGATAACACAAGCAACATTGCAATGCAGTGAATAAAGAATTTTTTGTACATTTTCAATAGATGTACAGAGTCAACAAATAGTTATATGAAAAAATGTATCTTTATTCCTACTTTATGCACACAAAAATTAATTCCATATAAACTGTTGATCAAAGTGCAAATAATAACACATTTTTAAAAGAAAATGTGGGAGAACATCCTTATGAAAGGCAAAGAACCCTTAAACAAACTGCACACAAACAGATGTAAAATAGTCTACTTTAACAAGGAAGAAGGAACATAGTAAAAGGCCAGGAGTGTTTGGAAAGTTGGAAATGATGAAAACCAATTCAATTTTATTTAAACTTTTTGCAAAAGTGAAATGAAGCAGCTCTTCAAAAACAAAAGAAGTTCTGAATGTGTACAGATTTTGGGAGAGAAAATAAAAGGAAACAAAAATTGATAAAAACTAACAAACATGTACTTTATGAACTAGTATTTCTTATCTAACTATGTGTGTTGGTATGTGGGTTCTACTTTTTTTAACTCTTTGAATTTATCTCAAAAGAGATAGGCTTTTGGTGTTAATATAAGCTTAGGGATTAAAGATTATAAACTCAGATTCCTAATGACAGCTTAAATAAAATTTTATTTATTTATTTATTTATTTATTTATTTATTTATTTACATTTAAAGCAGGGGTAAAACAATATATGAAAAGTGCAGCTTAGGACAGAGGAGAATCAGGCTCTCTCAATTTGATTTATCTCAATTTGATTATTTGATAGAAAGTTTCTCTATTTACTTGTGTTAACAAATATTCTGTATCTTTAACTTATGTTGACACAAAGAGAAATGGTTTATGACTAGGTCTGAATAACAACGGCAAAACATGAATATAAAAATAAATTAACAATTTAAATGTTAGATTAAAAAATAAAACAAGATACTTTGAAGAAATCAAGGTGGAAAATATTTCTTAACATTTTATAATTTTTAGTGTGGTAAATTAGACTACTAAGTATTTTTAAAATGTTGTACACATGAAAAGACTCCACTAAGAAAATGTCAAGTTGCACACTAGGAATAAATAATTTTTGACAGGTGAACAGAATTGGTTAATATCTAGTTTGTGAAATGATAATTGTTCTTATTGGTAATTAGGGGAAAGCAAATGCAAACCACAATGAAATAGAATTTTATTTACATCAGAATGATGGCAATATTAGTTATATTGAAATTCATGCTTTATGAAGCCATTTGTCAGAAACTTATATGTAGTTAATAGTTGGTTTCAACTGAGGAGGAAGAAGCCACTAGACTGGAATTAGTCAAATGAATTTAGGATTATCCTAGTTTACCACAAAGCTTGGTAAACTGGGTGTAACTTTTAGGTGACTAACCCAAGACTAGGCTATTTTTTTTCTCCCTAAATGGACAAGTCAAGGGAGCTTGTCATTCTCTGGATGACTTCTATCTTGAAACTATAGGAATATGACATTATTTAACACTGGTCAGACAAGTTTCATCTTATTTGTTCTTCACATTTCACCCAGCCCATAAAAACCAACCAACCAACACCGAACATAGCACACAAACCTGTGAAACATCAACCACCTTAATAGCTACATGAGAAGATCTTTATTTTTATTATCATTATCATCATCATCATCATCACCACCACCATTACCCCTGACACCACCATAACAATCAGAATATTATGAACAGGTAAATGGGATTTTGTTTGGGAAATTAAGTCTGTAAAACTTAAGTTACTAGGGTATCTTCTAGATTTGTGCTAATTGGTTGCTTTCTATAATTCAGATTTTTATTCTGGACACTGTCAAGAAATGTGCTCTTGTTTCTGAGGTTTAAAGTCCTTGCAAAGCCTCTAACAAAGTTTCAGAAAGTTGGAAAAAAGGAATCAGATTTCAGCAAAATATTGCTTACTTCTTTTTATAATCACCCATAAGAACACTACTACTTATGTTCTCTAGGAACATAATTGAAGTAATATTTTATAATATAAAAATATTTTATAGAAATAATTTAAAACTCTAAAGGCCTTTATAGATTTTTAGAATAAGGTACTGTACTTTACACATCCTAAATTAGCACCTGGTAAACTTCTGGGAGTCCTTTTCTAAGGTACTCTTTTTCTGGAGTTCCAGGAGAAAGTTGGAAGGAGAGGCCATTCGACTCATTTGATCATTAATTTTTTCTATTTCTAATTCAAAACTTTCTCCTTAGTGATTTAAAGTTTTCTATGACTAAAAAAGGTGTATCTTTTTAAAATTTGGGAAACTTTTTGCACTGAAATCTTGCATTACCACTCTTTACTACATAACAATGTAGGTGCATCTAATTCAAATGATCTGTAACTAAAGGTTTAAAAAATAAAAACTAGTTTGTTATGTTTTGCAGTTTAACAGCTAATGCAATATCAGAATGTGTTTCAAGGAAATCTAATCTAGGAAATACCTGCTATGGACTGTGGGTTAAATTATAGTGAGATTGATGTTTTAAAATTGCAAATAATGTAGTTACTATTATCTGTATGAATATTATTATTGTAATTTGTCTTTTTACTTTTTATTTTTTTTATTGTTCTCCAAGTACAGTTGTCAATTTGATGAAGGTAAATGGTTGATTATGCCAGAATAACCAATGAGCCTTTACCTGAAGTAGATTAATCCAAAAGTGAGGGGATTATAGTTCAGTTAAGTATATAAAATTGGTAAAATTCACTGAAGATTAATTTTTAACCTATCCTTTTTGTTTAATGAATGATTCATCCTAGAATGCAAATTCTTACATTAAAAACAATATGGCCAAAAATTAATTTGGTAAATGAAAGTGCAAACTGTTTTTATGGTATTTAGAAAAACATTTTAATGGTTTCGGCTATTATTCAAAATAATAGTCAATCCTAGAGTCTATGCATTATATTTACTAGGGGAAGGGTTGAACAAATCGTAAACTACTGTGATCTTTTTGATATAAAAGAATCTCCTTAATTGTTTATGACAGATAGAACAACATTTTATAAGCTGTTATGTAGTGATTATTTGTATAGAAACCATCTCAGTGACTTTGGAGTTACCATTTAGGGTACATAATGTTAGACTGCCTCAAAAAGACTAAACTACCAGTCTAAGTTACTACTGGCTAATCCAAAACAAATTTCAGATCTTACTATCACAGTGAACTTTTAGCCATTAAAAGAAACATTCTCAGATATTAGTACGATTAAAATATTGTTGTTAACTACTCCAAGTGTATATATTTTTTAAAGTGTGATTCATTTCATAAGAGAAATATTGTGCCAGAATAGCTTTTTTCTGAGTATCAGATTAAACAATAGAATTCCCGTATGAAAGCACAGATGAAATAGGGAGTGTTTTTGAAGAAATTTTTGTTCTGGAAAACACAAATTAACAAGTTATCAAATAAAATATAAGGAAGAGGTAGGATTAAGAATACAGAACAGAACAGAGAGGAAATAAGACTGGTGGTCTTGCATGGTTGTGTCCTAAGTGTTGTGGTCTAAGTTAATGTTTAAAAAAAATTGTAAAAAAAAAAACACCTGAAAACAAATCTTCATCTAAAAATCAATTGGTCTCACAGGCCTTAGAACAAAAAGAAAGATGCTCATATGCATAGAAAATACTTAATCTGTCAAAAATATCTTGACAGATTACAAACTCTTCTTTATATTTTGTTTAAGATGACGGAGAATACAAAGAGATTGCTGAAACAGCTGAGGTTATTTTGAATGTGAAATCAGAAATACTTTTAATATTACAGCTCTTCTTTCAAATGAGCAATTTCATGACATCGTGTTTTTCAAGATATGAAGAATAATGTCCAAATCTTGTTAGACTAAGAGTGACCATGAGACCTAACTGCAGCCCTAGATGACTCTATGATGCCAAGTCACTGTATTTTGAATTGTATTTCATCTAATTGATTAGTTTTGATGATGAAACTTTACTATCTGTTATTTTTTATTATACAAATAATCCATGATTATTATAGAAACATTAGAAAATTTAAAGAAAAAGGGAACAAAAAGAAAAAACATATCCATGATCTCATAAAATGGGATAACTGCCGTTGACACCATGATGTTTCCTTCCACATTTAATTGAAACTTCTAAATGGTGTATTACAAATTTGTTAATAGATCTATATTGCCCTTGTACATGATGTCACTATAGTTTAGAAAAATACACTCAGGCCACACTTAATGTTATGTAATCTGTTTTAGATAAATAAAAAGAGCAAATCAATTTCTCCTCTGTAAAATGAGGACAAAAACCATGCTTATTTTGCTCACAGCTGTATCCCTAGCAGCTAACATATTACTTAAATACAATTTGTTAAGAGAATGATCATTAGGGTCTATCCATTTTGAGGCACTTGAGGCTTCTAAGTTTTCAGCTAATAAAGGCCTAATGCATAAGTTATAAATCATATTGTATAAGTTGGAAGAGAGACAAGTAGATTTAGAATGTCTATAATCTGATTTGCACCATTTGGTACTTTCACAGGTACGGTATATCTTTCCAGAGAAGATCTTGGTCACCATGTATGACAATTCTTGTTTTTCTTGGAGTGGCAGTAATCTTGGGTTTAACTATTGGTCTCCTCATTCATTTTCTGGCAGTTGGTAAGTATTTACTCTTTTCAATTTTTACTCTTACTACTAAATCTCCTTATACATAGAAATTGTCAAGAAACAATATAAGTATTAAATTTATTTGTGTAAAATTTCTCATTTACTTAGTATTTTATTTTACCACAATACTTTTCTGTTGTTTTTTTAAATTAGATGCCTCCTTGATCCACTCTATAAATTGTATCATCAATTATAGGGATATGGCAAGACTGAAATATTCAATACTTTTTTTTTCACATTTTGATATAAAATATTTTATTGCTGCTAAGAAATCTCTTTGAAAGCTTTTGTCCTTTAGTTTTAGTATTTTGTATGCATTTTACATTTAAAGTTTCTGTTTCAAGATGATAACACTAACTTGTACATTGTTATTATGTAAAAGACATGCTATAAGACAAACCTACTGAGTTTTTTTAAATTTAATTTAAATTTATTTTTTCAAATACATTTGTCTCTGCCTACCCCCCACCACTTTCCCTTGCCCCCTCCCTCTTTCCCTCCCTCAGCAAAGTATTGAAATATTCAATACTTTGATGCTAATATTCTTGGCCAATAAAAGAGCTTAAATAGTAGGCTTGTTATATCTTTCAGTAAATATATTTCAAACTGTGGAGATCTGTACTCTTCCTGGCTCAATTCTAGTATAGACAGATTAATCTGCTAATCTTCAAATACCCAAGTTCAGAATACTGAATATAACAATGTTAATAAAAGATTCTGGTTACTTGCTCTTCTGTTTGGTGACAAACTACAGATTAAAATCATAAAATGGTAAGAAAAAGAGGGTCTTTGAGTTTATTTATTGCAATTTAGTCATTTGTTATTAGTACCAAAAAAATAAAAAAAATCCCAGACATCTAAAGCAATATGCCAAGGTGTCATAGCCAATTTGTGGCATGGCTTGAACTAGTTTCTCTAACTTCATATACTTTATGTTTTTCAGAATGACCTTAGATAACTTCTTAGAATCTGACATTTGCTTTTCATATGCACTGGTTTCCATAAAGAAAAATACAGGAAGCTATAGGAATAGGGAAAATTGATTTTTATTTTAGATTGAAATAATATTTCTGACTTCTAAGAGAATAAATTATTACAGCTCAGGAAATCATATTTTTCAAAGTCTATTATTAGCACTCCTTAGAGATTATATGGTGCTTTTAAGGTAGCTCAAAAGCACAATTGTTCTTAAAATATGTGAGTGGCTAAGATATCCTTAACCCAATCAGGATACCATTTCCCATTCATCTCTATTTTTAAAAGTACATATATGATATGTAAGAACTATCTGCGGGCTTGTCCTGTTTTAAATTATGGTGGCTTAGAATATCCAGTGAAGCAATTTACATTTGGAGACAGGAGAGAATGGGGAATGTGAGACCTGTGACACATGCCAAGCAACAGCCACCATACGCTACAAGGAAGTGCAAAGGCAGTGTGAAGTCCTGAAGAAATGACGTCAAGAAGTGGAAAGCAGGCCAAGAGGCAATGGGGCATAAGAAAGGGTGCAAGTGGATATAGATCATTCAGAAAATGAAGGGGAATGTTTATAATGTTTCCTGTATCAGAAGTTCTGAGAAAGATTAGTTGGGTACTCACTAGGCTAAGAATTTAGGTTACATATGAAAAATAGATTTCATCTCTGATGCATATTTGGATAAATTGCTATTAGCTGCCTGAATTTATGCTTTGGGGAGCATGCTGAGGAACAGTGATGTCTATTATCTTATGAAGAAAGGAGGGGGATCACTCTGTGAATGCTGGGTAGTCACCATTTCTAGAATAAGTGGATAATTAATTCCCTTCCATTTTCCTCCTCTTCCTCTTTACATCCCTCTGCCTATTTCTAATATTGGGTTGAATGTTAATTTTGAGACAAAGATATGGAGGGAATTGAGGCCAATTTCTGTTTTAAAATTCTTTGAGTATTTCTTTATCTCACAGGCAAGATTTACCATTACCAAGGTAATTTTCATATTTCTGAAGTCACATACAATTATAGTTGTAAAAATGCAGCTTCAGAAGTTATCAAAAATCTGAGCAAAGATATTGAAACTAAGGTAAGTCAGTAATTTATTTTATTAATTTCATTTTGTTTGATTGAAATAGACAGAGTGGCTGATTTATCTTTTTCTCCTGACAGATGTCTGATGAATTTCAAAATTCTAGCATATACAGAGAATATATCAACTCTCAGGTCCTCAAACTTCTGTAAGTACAAATTTATTTAGAATATTATGGAAAGGGAAGTAGGTGATATGTCATATTAGCCCTGGTTTTATATAAGAACATGAAGAGAGAGAGAGAGAGAGAGAGAGAGGAAGGAAGGAAGGAAGGAAGGAAGGAAGGAAGGAAGGAAGGAAGGAAGGAAGGAAGGAAGGAAGGAAGGAAGGAAGGAAGGAAAGAAGTTCTCCATAAATTAAAGTAACAGTATTTAACAGATTTCTTTTCATGGCAGGTATTGTTCCATACAAATCTGTACTCTTACACCTGAAGGGGAATTGCAGGGTTGTTTGTGGCTGTCAGGTCTAATTTCTATGATGAAAGATAATTGTAACTCTATGGAAAACAACCTAGGAGTCCAACCTGATGGTTTTGCTACCCATATATTAGCCATTTCTTCTTGTATCCATATCCATCTGGCATGCCTTTCCTAAAATAATCTTCTTTTGGTCTCTTTAGTATTACCATCATTGTAATAAGTGTGGAACAAAGTGAACCATTTAAGATAGCATTTGTCTAAATATGTCTCTGAAGCGTGCTTGAGGGTGGGGGGCTGTAGGGAGGAGGGTGTCGTGGAGCACAGGGGATGTGCGACAAAGAGCGCACTCCTATTTTGGCAGTTGCCAATATCTATTCCAGGAATTCTGAACTTCCAAAATAAAACAAACACAAAAATCCAGGCGGCCAAGTGCTAACCAACCAACCAATCTATAGACAAATAAAAACCTTCAAAGACTCTTTCATTAGCCATAATTATTTGAAAATACAGTTCTCGTTTTTTAAAAAATTTGTGGTTAATATAGCTTTTGGTCTGAAAGTCTTCCAAAATGAATTATTTTTTTTTCTGATTAATAAAAAGAATGTAATGAATGTATAAATAATGAAGATTTGCTTCATGCTTTAGAGTTGTTTTTCTGAGATTTCTCAAGGTACAGATCTAGTGGGGTAGACATGTATAAGGAGCTATAAAAAGGAACTTAGTGCTAGATCTTAAATATATTTTAGAAGTTATTTTTTGAATGCTTCCCAGTCGTACTTTTAAGTCCTCACTTATCTCTTAATCTAAACAGAAGTTATTAAAAATTGCCTGTATAAGAACATGGTTTTTACTATGTTATAATAAAATCTCATGTTAATCATTTATTTTCCAGTACTCAGTTTCTCCTATGTGTTTAAAGTACAGGGTGGGGCAAAAGTAGGCTTATGGTTGTAAGTAGGCAAAACACAATTTATTCTATTATTATTTATTAATTGTTGTATCCTTTTCCACATGAACAACCATAAATCTACTTTTGCCCCATCCTGTATTCTGATTTCTTGTTTGTGGGTCACATCTTCTTCTATGCACAATACCTCTGAACCAGTTAGAAAAATTTGGGGAACCCTTGCACTTTAAAAGTACTGGAACAATATCTGTGTATCGTTCTTTAGTGTATGTAAAGGAAATATGATAATTAAAATGTGGGAAATTCAATGGATTCACAAAACATCTAATAAATCAAAGGAGCAATCCGCTAAAACATTTCTGTTGTTTCTAGCCCTCATACCAATGATTCAAGTGTAGAGCTGCTGCTGACATTCAAGTTTCCTCCAGCAAAGAGGGACATGATGAGGGCTGAAATCACAGCTCTCTTACTTCAGATGTTGAAAGACAACATGGTGTCCTGGAATGCAGTGCCAGCTTCCATTCAACTTACAGGTATTTCACTTACTTTCTATTACTTGGGTTTATGGACTATTTAAAAAAGAAGAAGGAGAAGGATAAGGAGAAGGAGGAGAAGGAGAAGGAGAAGGAGAAGGAGAAGGAGAAGGAGAAGGAGAGAAAGAGGAAGAGGAAGAGGAAGAGAGAAGAAGAAGAAGAAGAAGAAGAAGAAGAAGAAGAAGAAGAAGAAGAACAACAACAACAACAACAACAACAACAACAACTAGGGAAAAAATAAACCAAGAGTTTCAGGATTTTTTTTGAAAAATAATATGCCTCTCAAGATCTGGCACTTCTTTAATGAATTGGTAGTGGAAGGGATAGCCTCATAGAAGTTTTGTCTGAAGAGTAATTGAAATGAGGGTTAAACTGCGAGCATGTGAGGGTTTGTTGTTAATGTATGGAAAAGGCGGTGAAGGGTCCTGATTGAAGCATTATTTCTCCCTACCCTCTACTCTTGTCAGGATCTCACTACAGGAAACAGATTTAGGGTTTTCTTGGTCATTCAGTGTGAAGACTGTAGTGGTAAGAATGAAGTTGGGAATAGGAAGAAGGGGAGTAATCATATTAAAGAAAAAAATTATCTGGACAATTTCCCTAGAAAACAAGGGAAGACAATGATAGGACTTTGCCCAGTATAGAAAGTCAAGTTTGTATAGATCTTCAAGGTCCTGCAAAGGTTTTGAAACTCTCACTTGCAGTTAAAGGGCCTGTTAGGTGATAGGCCTGTGGTTACAGAGCCCAGTTTTGTGGTTCTTCTAGACTGACTATTGCTCCCAGTGTCCTTGAAAGTTATAAAGACTGAGAGAGGCCAGTTAAAGCTCCTTTGACAGAGACTGCAGACTCACCACCAACAGCCTACTGATGAGAAGTGAGTTTAAGGCAGAACTCCTCACCGGAGCAGCACAATTCTCTGGGGGAAGCTGTTAGGAAAGACGGTTGCACTAGTTACCACCCATGTCCCAGAGATTTGGAGTCAGCACTTTCCCGTGTGTTTTCCTTTAGTTCTCTTTCTCTCTGAAGTCTCTTCCCATAGAAAAGAGACTTGAATTTAAGTTAAATTCTCAAAATTTCAGGATTCGGTGTTAGTAATAAGATGATCCCAAAGAGCAGGACAGATCCAATAAAGAATGCTTTTAACTGGATTTTTTTCTTTACAATATAGATAATCCTGGGTATTTCAAAGTAATAAGATTTATCATAGAGAAAGAATTTTAAAGATAATGCCCAGTCCTTTTCTTAGTAGGAACGCCAGCTTTTTATCTCATTAAATATTTTACTGAAACTACTATAAAATTGAGAACTTTGTTTTTTATTTCTTTTTCCCTTTTCCTAGACCTGCTAGACATGTGGAAAGATGGTCAAATATAAGAAGTGGTAGTGAGAAAGGATGATAATACATGAGATAGTCTGAATAGTTAAATGTTGGTTGTGATTGGACTAGAAAACACAGCCTTTATGTCCTTGCACTGAAGGTAAGAGCTTGGTGATATTTTTATCAATTTCATGTCTTTTAAATTTCAGAAATCAGTGAGACTAAGGCTGAAATGCTTACCAACAACTGTAAGTTTAGAAACTTTATTGTAAATTTAACACATTACAAATATTTCTCCATTGTTTTCCTAAGAAGGATCAAGAAGTACATTATATGGAAATCCATAGTAGTTTTTCAAAATTATTGGATATACCAGATATACATATGGAATTTCTCTTTGAAAAACACTGGCATATGAATTTTAACATTTGTAAGAAGTTGTCCCCAAAAATAAAATAACTTATTCCAAAGACTGAAATTATCGGTTAAGAATATCATTCTGAGTAAGTTAAAATCAGAAAGACTGAAGGAAAAAAAAAAAAGAACAATTTAGGATAATAAGAAAATAAAAAACTAGGCTATATCAAACATATTTATTATTGATGGAAACCAGCTCTATACCTCTTGAACAAATTCTTTTTAGAGTTTCATGTTGCCCCCAAGAAATAACCCTGCATTCATGCACTCAACAGGTATTTACAGAGTTTCTGTTGTCCACATGGGGCCTCCCTGGCAGCACTGCCTATGCTATGCAAGATGCAGACATTGATGAAGCCAAGTCTCCACTTTCAAAAATTGTGCAATTTACTTGGGGAGATGGGAATGATAACAAATAGATACAATAAAAGTCAGTGGTTGAAAGATGCTTGCGATTAGAAAAGGGGATAAGTAAAAGTCACTGGAGCCAGGAGGGAGTGGGCTACTGTGATAACTGGGCATTGCAGGGAGAAATAGCATCCCTAAAGAGACGCCAGACAGTCACTATAGGGGTTCGAACAATGTTTTAAGATATATATTTTATAAAGCATAATCAAAGATACCTACTCTTGTATAAATAAAATAAAATCTTTTCCTCAGGTTGTGGGAGACAACTGGTTAATAGTATTACATCCAGCAATCGAATCGTGACTGGGAAGAACTCCCTCAGGGGAGCATGGCCGTGGCAGGCCAGTGTGCAACGGAAGGGCCAGCACCACTGTGGAGCATCTCTGATCAGCAGCAGGTGGCTCTTATCTGCAGCTCACTGCTTTGTTAAGTAAGTGCAGAAGTCTGACTAAATGCAGGATTCTGGGTTCTACCCTATTTTTGGTAGTCTGTGGCGGTTAATCTAATCTGTGAACATTCATCAAGGCCATATAAACTTTTGATGACCTGCATAACTGAAGGGAAGCAGGGATATTTAAATTTGGCAAAGCGAAGTGAATAGAAACAATTCTCATTTTCTAAATAGCTACTTTGGCCAGAGAGTTATTGCTTTAGTTACATCATTTTATTTCATCTAACAATAATTCTGCACAAAAGATATAATTAAACATATTTAAAGATGAGGAAACTAGGGTTCAGAAGTAGGGACATAACTTGGCCAAGATCACAGAGCCCTTAAATAACAGAAATTGAATGTGAACTCAAGTTTGTCTGACTCCTATTACCAAGTACTTACTTTTCTTGCCCTTCAAGGGTTTATAATCTAATTAAAGAATATTAAAAGTGATATATTTAAGGTATAAAACAGCATGGTATAGTAAATGTCTTATATACAAAATAAGTAAGAGTTATGGAAATTTGATGAATAAAGAGGATATCCAACTGAGACATGGAGCTATACAATTTGATCTGGCCTCTACAAATATAAGCTTTGATTAATAGGGGTGGGTGGATGGGAAAGATGTGTTTTGGGTTGAGAAAGCAGTCTTCTTCAAATATAGTGAGATGGAATAAAATAAGTTATATTCTGTGGGTAGCAAACAAAAAGAGTAATTTGAAGGAGAGAGAATTTTGAAACAGAAAATATGCTTAGAGAATTTATATTGATTGGGGACATCTCTAAATGACAAGATACTTACTGAACAAGTTTTCTACAAAGAATTTTCATAGGATTTGTCCCCCTGATGCAATTTTCAAAAAGTAGCCCATGGACTATGGACCACCCAGGGGATTTGCCAAAAGTGTAGATCCTCCCCTGTCTGGTGTGGTTCAGTGGTTTGAGTGCCAACCTACAAACCAACGTCGCTGGTTTGATTCCCAGTCAGAGCACATGCCTGGGTTGCTAGCCAAGTCCCCAGCAAGGGGTGTGCGAGAGTAACCACACATTGATGTTTCTCTCCCTCTCTTTCTCCCTCCCTTCCCCTCTGTCTAAAAATAAATAAATAAAACCTTTAAAAAATAAATAAAAATGTAGATCTTTAAGAATCACACTAAACCTTTTGAATATAAATCTCTGGAGGTGGAGGCTGGGTTGAGTGTAAGGCAATGGAGTTGAAGAAATACAGCTGTTAAGAATGTGGAGTCACAGAAGGTTTTAGAATAGTAGAAGGATTGAAGAGTGTCACAGTTACATGAAAGTCTTGAAACTTTAAAAAACAAAACAAAACAAAGCAAACCAACACCCCCCCCCCCCCCCCCCGCCACCAAACTTCTGATCTTTTGAGAAAAGGCAAGAACAATTAAACAGAATGTTAGTTTCTAAATTGAGAAAGAGTTTTGGTGGGGAACTGGAGAAATGGGTCATAAAATCTAAATTAGAAGCCAAAATGCATTGAACTGGTAAACATAATAGGGTGACTAGGTGAGAACAAGGGACAATTTTTTTTATGTGTACAGATGCCATGCCAGAGTCTCCATTGGCTCTTGAAATCCAGGCTGTTTGGCAACAAGAATGATTCTGGATCCCATCCACTGAGGCGGCTCAGGTGATGCCCACCCAAGTCAGATGTTCAGAAACTGGATGGGGCTGAAGTACAAGGAGAAGACATCAGTGATTCTAGCTGGGAGGATTTGCCAAAGGCTGACAGCTCTGACAGCCCTTAACAATATTTTTATGTGACTGCTTCATTTATAACATCCTTAAGTCAAAGACATTTTTTATAAAAATAAGAATTTAAGTGCATTACAGTGTTCCTTGGGAACCTCGCACCTTAAAGTTATGACATGACCACTGTGAACACTGTGGTGGCAGAGAAACTGAATGTGTTTTAATTGAACTGTTTCCTCCAGGGGAATTAATTCAGAAGATTGGACCGTCAACTTTGGAACTGTTGTAAATGAACCATATATGACACGAAAAGTCCAAAACGTTATTTCTCATGAAAATTTTACCATGCCTGGGGTTCATAATGATATTGCCCTTGTGCAGCTTGCTGAAGAAGTGTCTTTCTCAAAGTATGTTCGTAGTATTTGTCTTCCTGAAGCCACAATGAAACTCTCAGAAAATGACAGTGTTGTAGTTACAGGATGGGGAACACTTTATATGAACGGTAAGTTTTTCCATAAAAACATAATAGCTTCATGGGAATAATTATTTAAATGATCAACCAATCAATCACTCTCTCATGCAATTAACCAATCAGTAAATATGCTGAAAAGAAAACCAAGAACTGGAACCAAAAGCATGGCATTGTCTTCAATTGCTCAAATGTCTCTGGGAATAAGAATTGGAAAAAGTGGAAGTGTGAGAGGTATTCAGCTGTCATAAACATCAGAAAGAGACCAATCTAGCCTGGGACTGACTTTGCTCCTGGTGACCAAAAATAATCTGCTTTATTTTATAGATAATCTTTGTCTCAACAAACAAAGTTAAAACCCCCTTAATATGCAGAATTTGTTGCCTGTAGGTCCTCTTCCAAATATACTTCAGGAGGCCTTTGTGAATATTATCGACAACAAAGTTTGCAATGCTCCACATGCATTATCTGGCTTGGTGACAGATAAAATGCTATGCGCTGGATATATGTCAGGAAAAGTTGATGCCTGTCAGGTATGTCTAGATATATCATCAAATCATTTTCTCCCTAAGTACTCATTAAATGGTAGTTTTTATTAACACAAAATATATTTATCTGTGTTAATGATTTCCACAGAGTACCCTCTTATTTCTTTATATATAATGAATATTGATATTCATTATATGTAAACATATATAAACACCCATTTATATACCAGACACCACCCTAGATACTGGAGATACAATGGTGGACTCAATCCCTGCTCTCATGGAGTCTCAGCCTAGGAATCTACACAAATAATATTATCTACAAGGTAATAAAATAGATTTGGCCCTATATTCTGGACAACCTGCAGATCTACAGTGCTGCCTCTTCCTTATCCAGAGATGCAGCGGGAGATCAACCAGGTGCACATATCACCCATTACCCAGAGGCTTCATCATGGAGCATCTGAGTCACTTTCCCCAGACTCAAGGCTGGACTCATTTTAAAGTCAATTTCTAGGCTGCCCAATCCAACATTTGGCAGCTGTAGACAATATATCCTGGTTTGGAGTTTCCCTGGTCTTTTTTTTTTTTAAAGTGTATTTTATTGATTATGTTACTACAAGTGTCCCAATTTTCCCCTCTTTGCCCCTCTTCTCCTGGTACATCCCTTCCCTCCAGCAATCCCCGCTCCTCTTATTCCATGTCCATGAGTCATGCATATAAGTTCTTTGGCTTCCCCATTTCTTATACTGTTCTTAACATTTCCTTATTTTGTAACTACCAATTATGTTTATTAATCCCTGCAACTTTCCCCCCATTCTCTCCAATTCCCCTTCCCTGCTAATAATCTTCCAAATGATTTCCATATCTATGATTCTGTTCCTGTTCTGATTGTTTGCTTAGTTTGTCTTTGTCTTTGTTTTTCCCTGGGTTTTGAATAAACCCAAGAACTTCAGAGTTTCTAAGCCTAATGAGGGTGGATTGTTTTCAATGCCCAGGGGCTATTGATACCTTCAGAGAAGAGTAAAAGGAAATTATTAGGATGAGAAATGGTTTCCTCTTTTTTTTTTTTAGAGAGATTCTGGTGGACCACTAGCTTACCCTGACTCTAGAAAGATCTGGTACCTTGTTGGAATAGTAAGCTGGGGTGATGGGTGTGCTAAAAAGAACAAGCCAGGTGTCTATACACGAGTGACTGCTTATCGTGAATGGATTACCTCCAAGACTGGACTCTGAAGGAAAAGTAACTTTGGGAAAGAAAGAGCTACTACCTTTCACGACAGCTTGGATGGAACTAAAGAGCATTATGCTAAGTGAAATAAGCCAGGGGGTGAAAGACAAATACTATATGATCTCACCTATAAGTGGAACCTAACCACAAAAGACACAAATAAACGAGGAAAATGTAACCAGCAACATTGAAAGAAAAAGGAAACCAACAGAATCAAGAGGGAAGGGAGGGCGGGTAAAGGGAAGGCAAGGGTCAAATCAAGGAACATGTATAAAGGACTCATGGACAGAGCCAAAGTGGGAAAGGATTGAGGAAGGGAGGAGGGAGAGGGGGGCAGAGGAAAGTGGTGGTGGGAAGGTGGAGACACATGTATTTGAATAATAAAAAAATAAAATTAAGAAAAAGAAAAACAGAAAAGTAAGTTTGGAATTGAACACAAAGACAACTGCAGGGTATTCTTATCTTTTGTTTAAAAATCTTTTTCTTTTGATTGGTGGTATACCAATCATGTTCTTACATACAAATACATAAAGGTCTTTATCAATATTTTATTATATCTAAAACACTATCCGTATTCTTACCTATTTAACTAATAGTGGAAACAGTAAGAAAAAAAAATAGATGGCCAGAATATTTTTTATTAATTGCTTAGTTCTGATTTATCTTACCTACCATTATATTCTTAATATCTTTTTCAGAAAAGAAAACTTAATTTGTTTTTCAGAAAAGAAAACTACACATTTTTTTAAAACATGAGAACATACTTGCTCCATCTACCAAATAAATTATTTTTATTCTACAAATTATAATTGCATTTTTAAAAACTGGAATGTATAAGACACAGTGTACATTTGTTTTTTATTTATATATGAGATACTTTGTGTCTCTCATAAAATCATACAATCTTTGAGTGGAGAAGGGATTTCAGAGGTTCAGCTAGCCTAAGTCTCTCAGTTTATAGACTAAGAGGAAAATTAGACTAGAGAGGAAAATTGTATGCTAAAAGTCAGCCTTTATCCTCTCTGATAAGATGCAATGCTCACATGAATTTTCCCTTATAGAATTTAGATCCAAAATTAATCAGGAGTTTAAAAATAATTTTTAAGTTGCAATTATTTATAAAATATTTTCTTCATGTCCTTCTTTGGTCATTTGTTTGCCTTCACTTGCAGCAAAAATAATGTGTTTCTCAAGGTCAGAGGACTGTGTGGAACAAATTCAGTAGCTTTAGTCTCTGGAAATAATTTCCTAATATTAAAAAAGTAGCCCAAAATTTTAAAAGCAGCTAAAATAAAGTAAAACTACTTCTTACCTCAATTATTTGTAATATTGCTTTTTATTATAAGAAATGACACAAATGAGATACGTAGTAATGGCAAGCCAATCCATACCAGGTATGACAAGATAGGAGTGTTTTTCTCTCTCTTGACTTTCTCAGGCAGGGCACACATATTTATTAAGCACTTAGTGTGTTCCAGCAACTGTCAAGTATAGACGCAGTATCTTCTAAGGATGCGGCATTTAGTGTATAAAGATAGTAAATATAAGATAATTTTGGATTGTTATAAATGTTATGAAGGAAATATAAATATGATGGAAAATAGTGGGGCAGAGGAAGAGTACTTGAGATTGGGCAGTCTGAATTACTTCTCTAAGAGACGAGCATTTGAGCTGGACCTAAAGGATGAAAAAGCAAAACATATAAAACACCTGAGAGAAGAGAAATCCAAAGGGAACAAGTATGAAGTCCTTGGGACTGAAATAAGTGAAGTGGCTGTGTGGGTAGAAACAATTTTTCTATCATCAGCTCTTCCTTCTCAGTAGGATTTACATGAGGTTAAAATTCTGAAAATTTTTGGCAACCCCTGGGCCAGTTTGTTTACTGACCCAAAATCTTGCTAAATATTTCTGCCTTGAGATCTTTGGGAGTTAACAGATTTTGGTGGTTCAATATGAAGACAAAATGTATTTGTATCTGAATAAGGACTGTGGGGGACTTGCACCTTGTATCTGTCTTGATCTCCCAATGCTCGCCTGTACTCTCTCGTGATGTACTGTATTCTTTGCTTTTAAATAAAGGCTTTATGTATGTATTTCTTATGGGATCTTATCAATCATTTCAAGTATCCAGACTTGTGAAATATTTTCAAATTTAATATTTAAAAATACAACAGTGGTGCCCTGAAGCTGGCTTGCCTCATCGCACGAGCTGAGTGTTCAAACTTCAGAGATTGTGTTAACAGTGGTGAAGCACACCAGAGTTGGAAACTAAGGATTCTAAATACCCCAAGCTCATCATGTTCTAATTATTTTACTATGCATTACTAGTATTTATGGTCTTGAGGTTATTTAGCTCTATTGTATCTGTACAGTAAGGATAAATAGAGTGCTACTGCTCACATCTTCCCAAATATATGCTTGGCAATGTCATGTGGGTGGCTTGAAACTGGTCATGGTGGATTTATTTATACCATGGAAATTGGTCAATGTTATAAATGATCTCCTACCCCCTAATCCTGAAACCATGTTGTAAAATCCAAGCACACCACTGAATGTAAATATTCCTCATTTTTGGTTTCAAAAGAAATCTTAACCAAATGATGCACTGGTACACAATTTTTATTTCAGGACATTGCAGACTAGCTTTTGGGTCATTGTGCTGGATGTTTTTGTTAAATGTCTTAAGTACTGCCTGCTAGTGGTTGAGCTCAAGAAGATTTGTTACTGGTTTTTATTTTTCATAATTTCAATGCAAGCAGAAGTTTCAGAAGTTATTTTGGAAACATTTCACAGAGACCTGTTAAGAACATTCAGATTTGCAGTTTACAGTGATTAATTAAAGAATTCCAGAAAAGACAATTATGTTATTTTAATATGTCATAGTCTCTATTGTGTTTAATTTTGGAAATAAAATAATTATTTCATGCTTTCTTTTGTTGTGTCTTAAATAATTAAATTATCTTTATTTTAAATTTTCACAGTTCCAGTGGTCCTTATCTTACCTCTGTAACTTGTTTCCTGATCTCATTTACAGTATACTCCTTTTCCCTCTGTAACATTCTAAATAAAGTTTTTCTTATAAAAAAATAAAAATAAAATTTATCACAGGTGACATTCATGGTTGAGTGAACAAAACTCTATTTTTACTAATTATAGGAGTACATATTATACAATAATTCCATTAAATATCTATCTCTAGCTTTATAAGTCTACTTCATGCTTTTTAAAGTCAGGTTTATCTCATTTACAAAAATAAAATTGAGCAATGCCAAAACCACTAGCCAGGGTAATGAGAGATTGCCCCCACATTTTGTTTCTGAGTCATTTGATGAAAGGTAAAGGATTAGAGGAATTTAGCAATTATCAAGAGCAGGGACAAAGTTGTAGTCATTAGAGAGAACTAGTCTAGTAGCACCTCTGTCTTCTGCTTAAAATTCTATTCCAACTCTGGTCTCAGCACCCTTTGAGAATAAAAACAAAACTCTTTATTATGATGTGTTAGTGCTTCAGATTGCCCTGGACATACACATGTCATTGAACTTTCTACAAGATGTAAAAATTACCTATTTATGCATCTGAATGTCTTACTAGACACTGAGCTTCTCAAGGGCTTATTTTTCATCTTTGTGTTGCATCTTTGCGTGGCTACTTCAATGGAGGTCAGTATTGTGTTCAACTGAATAAAACTAAAATGTAATATCAAGACCTGGCTTCCACGTGCATCTCTCTTTTCTCTCCCATCACATACTTGCGTTTCTCTTGTGATCCAATCACACTAGTGAGATTTCTGAAACATGCTATATTGGGCCTTTCCAAATAGTGTACTCCTTGTCTGCAATGTCCTTCAAAAACTTTTGTTTTCCTAGTAAACTTACCGTCTTTTAAAAATTAGCTCATACCTTTGTGAGAGTTTATTCACTGTGTTCTAATGGATATTATACTTATTGTCACCAAGCCATCATCTCATCCAGGAAAGTTATATAAAGCCAACAGATACAACTTATTTTTAGTAAGTATTAATTTGGCCCTGACTCTGGAGAAGCTGTATTTAATTGCCAATTCCAACTTAATTTTTACTCAGATCCATATAAGGATAAGCTTATATTTCTAAGTATATCTAAGTTTTTTAAATTATATAACAATTGTATCAACACATTATCCTTGTGGAAAAAAAAATGAACCCATTACAGATAAAGCTGAAGTTTTTTTTATTGTTGTTCAGTTACAGTTGTCTTACCTTTTTCGCTGTTTCTCTCCCCTGCTATGTCCCCCGCCCCTCCCCAGTCACACAGTCAGTCCCCGTCGTGCTGTCCCTGCCCATGGATCCTCTATTTATGTTCATTGACGTGCCCCCTTCCCCTTCTTTCCCCCTGTACCACCTCTCCTCTCCCTTCTGGTCACTGTCAGTTTGTTCTTTATTTCCATGTCTCTGGTTATATTTTTCTCATTTGTTTGTTTTGCTGATTAGGTTCCACTTATAGGTGAGATCATATGATATTTGTCTTTTCCCCCCTGACTTATTTCACTTAGCATAATGCTCTTCAGTTCCATCCATGCTGTTGCAATGGGTAGGAGCTCCTCCTTTCTTTCAGCTACATTGTATTCCATTGTGTAAATGTACCACAATTTTTTGATCCACTTTTACTCATGGGCACTTAGGCTGTTTCAGGCACTCGGCTATTGTAAATTGCATTGCTATGAACATTGGAGTGAATAGGTTCTTTTGAATTGGTGCTTCAGGATTCTTAGGGTATAACCTCAGCAGTGGAATTGCTGGGTCAAAAGGCAGTTCCATTTTTAGCTCTTTGAGGAAATCCCAAACTGTTTCTCACAGTGGCTGCACCAGTCTGCATTCCCACCAACGGTGTACTAAGGTTCCCTTTTCTCCACAACCTCGCTGCACTTGTATTTTGACTTGTTTATGATGGCCATTCTCACCAGTGTGAAGTGGTATCTCATTGTGGTTTTAATTAGCATCTCTCTGATGGCTAGTGATGTTGAGTAT